CTCAAAGCTCTCAGGGGCTAGGTCAGGCTTCGCGTGAAGTCATCTGCGACATGATTGGTGCTTGGCCAAGGCAGCAATCCAACAGCCTCACTGTTGGTCGTCGTTTCGAGCTCAGTTCCAGGTTTCAATTGTTCGCCATCAACCCACCGCTATCACCAAATTCACCAAATTCGAATGTTTCCAGTGGCAGCAATGTCGGAAAGCGCCATCTCCGTCTTACGGAGTGAAAACAACCTCTGCTTAGCCTGTGCGTCCATCGACTTTGATGCCTTCATTCATCATGCCAAAAATGTGGTGGGCAAATCGTCACACGACATCGACAAGCGCTATCTCGGACTAGGTTCTCCAGACTCCCCATTTGCGCTGCTGATATGTGATGACAACGGCGCGGTCGAGATGGTAGGCATTGAAGTCGATCACGTCGAGAGAACCTCTGCTTGTCCCTGTTACGATGTTTTCAAGGATCGTCAAGTTATAGGTTGCCACACTTACCTTGTGTATTACTTGCACTCTTCGCGAAAACAGTATGATCTACGAATGAAGGACAAGAAAGTTACACGTCCACAGCTCAAAGTGTGTCAATTGTTTGATTTCAACCGTACGTGGAGGCCGAGTGACGAACCAACGGCGAGAACCATCAGAACCTCCCGCTCGGATCGCACTTTCAAGTTGGTCCAACCTGGCCAGCCCGATCCCAAACTGTCAGCAGACTTGTTATCCATCAAGTCTGCCTTGGCGCGCGAGGCTCGCCGGCATCATCTCAAATCAGAGGGAGGTCAGAATTGGGAAGCATTGTTTCGACGGGGACTACCTGGGTGGAGTGTCATAGACTGCTTCACGGACGAAATTGTCAACCTCGAGGATTGCGTTGCGTCGGCGGGGTCTTTCGATGCAGTCGAGTACGCTACCCTGAGTTATGTCTGGGGGTCCGCACAGAGCGATTGTCCAAGGCTTGGTCGTAAACTGCCCGCATCCGTGCCTCGAGTCATCGAAGATGCAAAGACTGTAACGGCTTCGCTAGGATTCCGGTATCTTTGGGTCGATCGCTATTGTATCCCTCAACATTGTGCAAAAGAAGCCCACGACCAGATCTGCAACATGAACCTCATCTATGCCCGGTCCTGCATCACCATCGTTGCTGCAGCAGGCCAATGTCCGGACTACGGTCTTCCTGGGGTTGGGAAGACACTGCGAAAAGTACTTGACACTTTCCAAATCGGATCTCATACCATCAGACGAATGCCCACCGATGCAAAATGGGTTGAGCAGCAGATCCAGCACTCCAAGTGGAATACGAGAGCTTGGACTTGTCAGGAGGCAGCTTTATCAACGAGGCGACTGTACTTCACCGACCACTTTGCCCTTTTGGAGAATGGAAAGAAGGGAGAAAGCTACATCGAAGGCTTGCCGAATCAACTTTGCCCAAAGAACGGGACCGCATGGGATGGTATGAATACGTTAGGTTCTATTCCCCACGCGGGAAGCTATGCAACCCGGGAGCTTTCTTTCGAGGCAGACGTCTTTCGCGCATTTCAGGGATGTCAGTCTCATTACAACCATGTCCACATGGGGACATCTGTCTTGTTTTGTGGAGTAAGGATAGGAAATGATTGCGAATTTTCGTCGGCTTTGATTTGGGAAATGCCAGCATCTTCGTCTCGGCCGCAAAGACGCGCTGGGGGGCAGAGTTGGACGTGGCTGGGATGGCATGTCTCACGGGACTCCGAGTTATCGCTAAGTCCCCCATGGGCTCCATGCTACGAATTGCATGGGAGCCAGTATGCGAGTTTTGTGCCTACTGTACAAGTTTCACTTCGGTATGCGGATGGGTTCACCTTCAAGTGGGCTTCCATGACGAAGGAGCGGATCTACAAGTTGATGGACGACCGAGATGAGGGCACCATAAAGTTCATCCTTGTGACGGGACTGACTTTCGGATTCAAAGCGTTGTGGTCCATGTCTAGTCGAGAGGAATATGTTGCCAGGGCTAGGTCATGGGCGAACACCAGCCCAGGCCTTAAGAGAGCCATCGTTCACTGGCCATGTTTGGATGACTTGGACGAAATTGCACGGGAATCCTACGGCATTTTGCAGGATGAATTGTTAGATGAGTCTCGAGCTCTCTGCCTTTGCATTAGTTCGTGCTTCAATGGGGTACACGGTCAACTCCATTGTCTGGGATTGGTGTCGTCCGATGGCGGGTCGACTTGGCAGAGATTGAACATGTTCACGATCAGTTTCGTAGGTTGTAGGACCCACGTATGTCCGGACGCTTTCGGGTGGGAACGGAGGGAGCTCAAGATACGCTGAGCCATGATGATCTGCTGCTTTTAAGCACCTGTGTAAACATGATAACGTTAATAAGTCAATGGCTCTATAGAATCATCGACGGCAGCCTGTTCTCTATCGGTCTCCGGTAGAGGTTATCCGGTAACATGAAGTTGGAGGGCTTGAGATTCTGGTGCACCTTTCTCTTATTCTCTCTGCTTGTCGTTGGATTTCCATTTCTTATCTTTGCGCGCGGTCACGATCCTAATTTCTAGATATTTCCTAACATAATATGTGAATCCATGGTACAAGAAATCGTGCAGGCACCTTGACCTTGGAGTTCTGTCGTTGGTGGCGCCCCAGGTTGCGCATGTGCCTTTATAGACGTCCTCCCTCGTCCCATCACGAAATTTTGGGACCAAGATCGTCCGTACGTGAGCTTGACGGCATGACGGTTATATCTCTCAGATATACTCATAATTTCTACAGTTCCGGAGAAGCATGGGAGCCAGTTAAGAAACACAATTCATTGCTTGGTTTGGATGATATTGCCTGAGAAGAACGCGGTTGCCGCTGTTCTTCCTCCTCCAGTGTACGGCAATGCTTATGATAGGCCATATTGCACGCGATCTCCGGGCGCAAGTGGAAAGTCCCTAGCAAGAATGGCCTTCGAACCGTAAAATGCTTGAGGTATCTCCGTTGACGTGTTGGTCATTCCGATGACTCTACTCCGACACCGTGCCTCGCGACTATCATCTTCGTTTCGGAGATGGAAAGTGCCAACGCCATAAGTCAAATCAGGTTTCCCGTAGGTCTTTTTCCCAGCTGTGACTTATGAACCATCGAATACACTAGAGCTAACGACAAAAACTCAGCGGCAGTGTCATCTAATTGTACTTCACCATCAGTCTGCAACAGTATACTAGAAACAGCATCATCTAACCGTAAGTCAACCTCAACCCCCTTACAAATATCAATCAGAAGTTAACCAGAAATCAACTAAAAAGACCATCGACAATGGACGAATCCAAAAACGAGACCGGCAAACTGGGAGGTGTATACACCTACTTCCAATCCCTCCCCAATCTCATCCCCCGACGCGCGAAAAACTTCATCTGCGGCTGCTTAGACGACATCGTTCTCCACAGCATCACCTCCATCTTCATCAAACCCTTTATAAGCTACGTCTTTTTCACCACGGTAGTCTTGGTCTTGATTGCGGAGATCGCGCCCCATCCATTGATCTTTGCCTTCTTTTCAATCTCCGCATACGCGAAGCAACATATCGTGGATATGGTGATCACCGGGTTGGTAAAGTCGGTGACTGCGATTTGGGTTGATGCCGTGGTGCTGTGGTTTATCGTGTCGGTACACTTCTTTCGCGAGAGGAGACGACGGATTCCGAGGAGGGAGTGGATTGCTGCGTGGGAGGTCATCTCTTTGGGGATTAATGCGGTCGTATACCTTGCCCCGTGGGCGCCTAAACAGGACTTCTCTGCCGCGTATGACTCGGCCTCGGCAACTCCTTCCAACGAGGATGGGGAGTTTCGGATGACGTGGGGACACTACGCTTCCCTACTGCTCGTTCTCCGCGAAGTAAACGGCGCGTTTGTGGAGCACATTTGGCAAACGAAGCTCGATGCCCAGACGGCACCCAAGGACGGGAAGTACGAGTGCCTCAGGAGACTGTGGTATGGTTTCCGCTTCTGGGGTTGGAGTGTGTTGAGTCGGGCCATGATGTATCTGTGTGTTATGGCTGCTTGGGATGCGGTGGTGGAGTTGGTGGTTTGGGAGTATGTACCTGTGGCGTACGGAGGGTTGGCGTTCTTTGGGATGATCGTTGGGATGTTGACGATTGCTGTGCTGTGGGTTTTGGAGCGGTGGAAGGCGATGCGGGGGGTTAGGGTGGATTTGGAGGGGTATGGAAGCGATGAGAGCGATCATGAAGAGGGCGATGAGGATGAGGAAGAATATTATGAGAGCGACGATGACGAGAGCGACGATGACGATGACGACAGCGACGAGGACGATAGCGATGGGGACGATAGCGATGGGGACGATAGCGATGGGGACGAGCGCGAAGGGGACGTTGACGACGAGGATCATGAGGCGTATAAGGACAGCCGGGAAAATCATTCCCTAGGCTGTAAACATTCTCTAAGGATTTTAAGATGTTGAGGAATCAAAAAGTTGACACCACGAGGTCAAATATACGCCGAGAATGAGCCAAGGAAATGGCTCAAGATCATACTCCAAGTACCTCACAACTAGAGACATCATTAGCTAGCAAATGTTCATCAGTCACGTCGGTAGTCCCACAGGAAGTCCACTCGTCTCATCGCCGCGTGGAGCATCACAAGAAACCCAAGGAGTGTGATTCAAACACACAGTGTCTTGTAAGAACTACTTGCCAAATCCGGCTAGTCACCCGACACCCGGCCGCCGGCGCCGAGCCCGTGCCCCACATCGGCAAAGTGACTCGATCCCCCGCGCCACCGCCTCCGTCCTCGGAACGGGTCCCAACATCAGTGCACCTGCACCTCGCCTTCCGTCTGACATTCCAACCACCAGGCACCCGCACCACCACAACCAGGCACCTAAACTTAACGACGCCATCCAGGCACCCACGTTCTACAAAGTCGCCATCATCGAAGCGTCAATCCCATTTCCCATCTTCTTGCTCCCTCAAATCAACCAAACTCCAAAAGCCGCAACAGAACTCATCCACCAAAATGCCTCCCGCAGCGCCAACACCTCCTCTAAACTACACAACATCCCCCTCCCTCCTCCCCTACACCCTTCGCTTCCACCCCTACAACAAACCACCGCCTACCTCCCCATCATCGTCAACGTACCCCCAAGAGGTCTTTCACACCCACCGCCTCTGCGTAGGCGCCGCAGTCCTCTCCCCCTCCTCCCAAACCACCCCCAAAATCCTCCTCCTCCAACGCTCCGCAAGAGAATCCGCCCTCCCCCACAAATGGGAACTCCCCGGCGGGGCAGCGGAATCCCTCGACTCCAACTCCCTCGCCTCCGCCGCCCGCGAACTCTGGGAAGAAACTGCCCTCCGCGCCGTGAAATTCGCGGCGCTGGTGGGATGTTATCAATGGGAGGGTGCCGGGGCCGGTGAAGAAGCGCAGGCCGTGGCTGGGGACCAGGCGTGGGGGTTATCGAGGGGTGGGGTCGGGATTATCGAGGTTGGACGACGGTCTGATGATGCTGGGATTTCGGAGGGTGTGGGAGATGGGGTGATGAAGGATTCGCACAAGTTCTTCAAGGGACGAGATGCGTGGAGAAAGTATACTTACCTCGTGGAAGTTGAGGCCACTGGGACAGGGGAGGTGAAGGTTGAGATCGATCCCGAGGAGCACGACGATTTCGTCTGGGCCACGGAGGAGGAGGTGCGTGCTGATCGGTGTGGGGAGAGGGTTTTTGAGTGGACTTCGGAGCATCAGAAGCTGGACATCTTAAGGGCTTTTGAGATTGCGAGGGGAAAGAAATAGGTTCATAACATGGGGGGTGGTGGATGGGCGAGGTTCATCGACAGACGGACATGACTAGAAGAAGCGCGTGGATGGATGCCATTGGTGTTCTCAAATTCTCCCTAGAGACCTGAGGACCCCTCTATAGATATAATTAATGAATACCTAGATCTACATCTTCGCAGCCGAACCTCGGAACTCATCAGTCTCTACTTCTTCTTCGATCCCCTCCCGCCTCGTCCCCCCTTGCCCTGCTGGCCCTTGGCCCCCGAACCACCACTCCCACCAGACATCATAACCCGTACCTTGCCAACCGGCACGACATTGATACTCTCCTCCGCCTTGAGCGCCTTCATAAGCTCTACCTCCCTAGGCCACATCTTCTCCTTATCCTGCGCCCGCTCGTCGAGCGCGCCCTTCTTGGACGAATCGCTCTTCCACCGCTCAAACACCTCCTTCACCGCCTTACCCTTCTTCACCGCCCCAGGCTGGAGCTTGGCTTTATACTTGAACTTGCCCATGGCGGTCCACGGCGCACAAACAGGTATCGCCTCGAGAATCTCGTCGCCGGGGAGAGGCCAACCCACCAGTGAATCGAGCAGCGTCATCTTGCTCAGCTCATCCGAGTCCAGGACCTCTACGCCCTCCTCGTTCATCAGCCTGCGGATCTCCTCGTGCTCGGCAGTCTCCTTTTGCTGCTTCTCATGCTGCGCGCGGCGACGTTCCTTTTGGTACGCCAGCTGGGCTTCGCGGTCGGCTTTACTCTGCGCCTCGGCTTCGGCTCGTTGCTTGCCGCGCGCGGAGCCGTAGAGGGCCTCGGCTGCTGCCCTGTCCTCTTCGTCTTGGTCCTTGTATTTGGCTGCAATCTTCTTGGCTTTATTACGTCGGCCTCGTTTGGCTGGTTGTTGCTTCTCGGTCGCGGCGGTGCTTGGTGCACCGGACGGCTCTGCCGGGGTTGATGTTTGTCCTGTAGCTGCCTTGTCGCTCTCTTCTTCGTCGTCATCCCCGTCTTCTTCCTCGTTGTCCTCATCTTCCTTCTCTGCCGGCTCGGCTTCATCCTCCGCAGACTGTTCCGCAGGCTTGTCCTCTTCAATCTTGAGGTTTGACAACTCCTCGGCAGGGGACTCTTCAGATGCAAGCTGCTCCTCTGAGTCATCCTGTCCACTCTGTCCAAGATTCTGCAGAGGGTTGTCGCGCGGCTTCTCGTCCTCCTGATCGTCCTCGGAGCCAATATCAGAAGCATCATCCGGGACGTCATCATCAGCTTGAGCGGCATCAGTCGCAGTCTCTGGTGCCGCGCTATCGGCCGCCGAAGCCGGAACATCAGCGGTCTCATACAGTCTGTGCTTCACATGCCTAGCCTTGCTCTCTTCGCTAATCTTGAACATGATGCCGAGACCGAGCAGAAGCTGTGCCGGAGGAAGGAAATTCTTCTGGCCCCGGACCATGAAGCTTCCCGTGGGGAGGTACTCTCCGGTAGGAGCAGACTTGGAAACCTGATCGGCGTTCACCCACCACGCGCCCATACCTGCCTTGGAGTCCCACGCACTCGAGCTGCACACGGCCATTGTGCCTGCCTGCGCCAGCGTTGAAGGAGGAATAGGCGCACCGGGATCGCTGGGGGTGTTCTTGATGATGACGGTCGCGGCGCCGTGCATGTCCGCGTGAACGTAGACGTCGCCCTTGCGGAGATAGCGCTTATACAGCATCTCGTTCTGCTGCGCATCCTTGCCTGCCAACACCAGGTATCCGTCAGACGAGACAAACCAGGTGAACTTTTCGAACCATATCTGCTTCCGGATTGGCGCAAGAACAGCCTTCTCCGTCTTGAGGCCCTTCTTCAGCTCAGCCTGGATCTTCTGCTCGGCGTTCTTCAACGCAATCTGAGACTGCAAAACCGTCTTCTCCTCCTTTTTGGCGGCACTTCTCTTCTGCTCGTGGTATCCTCTGGAGTTTGCCCATGGCGTAAGGGTGATATCAACATCAATCTCCAGATGCTTTGCGGTCTTTTGCTTGTTGCTGGTCTCCTCCTCGTCGCTATCGGATGCATCAGAGTCGGTCTCGTAGTTGGACTCGTCGTCTTCAATTTCTTCCTCCTCTCCCAGCAGCAAGGTAATCGTGTTATCCGCAAGTTTCAGCGGCAGCTTAATGATCTCAGCCACTGGGTTGCGGCGCTTCTGTTCGCGCTCAATGAGCTTGCTGATGTCGACCCAATCCATGCCTTGCTGTAGAAGCCCATTGACCGCGTCCATCGCCTCCTGCACACGCTCGACGTTGGCCTCTATCGCGGTAGCCTTCTGGACGTTTAGTGACTTCGCCTCCCGGAGACCCTCGATTCGCTTCTCCTGGTCGTTTCGCGCTGCATCAAGCTTCCTCCTTGCCGCGGCCTCTCGTTCAGTCAGTCTTGACTCCAGCTTCTGGCCCTCCAAAGACGAAAAGAACTCGTCGACAGTCTTGTTGTAGCCATCAAACTCGATGACCTTGACAGTGGGGTCGTTTGCAAACTTGTTAGGCAAGAAGGGGTGGAAGTCGTCGTAGAGAAGATCCGATCTTTTCGCCTCCTCTCCCTCTGCTGCTGGCGCGCCGTCCGGCTTCGATCGGTACTTTGCAAAAATGTAGCCCTTGGCCGTGGCAGAGCTAGTGGCAACTTCCACAATACTGCGGGCTTCGGTCAACGCCTTCAGAAGCGCATCCAGAAGCGATTCATCCTCGAGAATCTCGGCGGGTTTCTTGGTGCCGTCAAACTTGGTAATCTGGAATGCGTGGTCGACGAGAATAGGCGGTAATTCGGTGATCGTCGTCGCCAAACTCCTCCTCAACTCGTCACCAGGCTTCGTCTTGATCTTCTTCCCCGCAGAGACAGCTGTCGCGCTCTTCTTGACTGACGACTCCAGTGCCGCTCGTACTCTCTCCTTTGTGAGATCGGGAACGCCGTTGAAGTTCTGCCGGTTGTCTAACGAGTAGTTCAACCCGATTCGTTGAGGTTCCTGGCCCTCTCCTTCGGGGACGTTGCGCAGGAGAGTGAGGATCTTGAGGTCGGCATCGGTCAGGATGACGTTTCCGCTCTGCGTAAAGACAAAGTCAGTGGTTGATTCTTGTCGCAGGTAGATAAATCAAGCCACTTACAGCAAAGAACTCGAGGAAAAGACGGTACTGGCCATCGCTAAACTGAAACTCCAAGATTCTGTCCGTTCCAACCTGCTTAACAGACGTCAACCGCCTCGTCTTCAGAAACTTGCGCAACCGCGCCACAAAAGCCGAGGGCGCCGCAGCGGTCGTGCGCGTAAAGTCTGTAAGATGGCATCGGAAACCAGAGTCTATAATAAGCTGCTTCTTATTATCGGGCTTGGCGAACTTGAGGAGTAGAATCTTGGAGGAGAGGTCGTAGACGTTGGCGAGTCGCAGGGTCGTCAGGCTCTCTTGGAGCTCGTGGGCGATGACTTTGACGTCGATGGACGAGAAACGCTGCTTCATGTCTGCGGCAGGCGAGTCGTAGAGGTTTGGTATAGGGCCGGTTTAACAAAGTGAGCGCGCCAGTCTCTTTGTGGCGGCTTTGGTGTTGCAAAGAAATGAATACGTTGCCAGTGAGGGGCAGGAATATGTGATGCAAATGAATAATCGCGGGGCATTCGTGGCTGAAGAGCTTTGAAAATATGGAATGCGCCACGATGACGTCACGTGCTTGGTTTGTCACCGGGGACTTCACTCCACGTTCGTCGGGCCTTTCTGCCAATTGTTAGGAAATCCAAATAGTTTTTCAGTCTTATGCGACTGTTCCTAAATGATAAGAGACTCAGGTGCTTTCAATTAGGATTATAGGCTTCATTGATGGGAATTGGCCTCACTATGATTTCTCATCTCTCGTCCCGAGCTGGCCGTGATGACGCACACCGAGCTTCTAGCGCCACATTTCGAGCTTCAAGCAAAGACGAAGAGCTGTCATACTAAAATAGAGCTCCGTGCCACCGGTTCGTGGTGACATATGCCAACTCAAATAAGATGCAACAAGGTCTTTGTCTCTGAAGTTTCACTCGAAACGTTGTAAGTGAATTAATCATACAGCCAGTCCAAGGCTTGCCAATCTTCGATGGATTCCTCAGAACCACATGGGTCCTTATGCTTGGACCAACAAAGCCTTGAATCATGGAATAGGCTATACGCCTTCCATCAAAGGACGGCTATCATTCAAGACAATACACTTGATGATGGTTTTGGCAGCATGCCACTATGACATGCCACTCTATAGGTGGTGCGGCTCAGCAGCTTAAAAGGACTGCAAAGTAGTATCAAGAACTTGATAGATATAATGCCCATGCCTAACCGGTCAAGCGCGTACTTGATAATGGCAGTTTCCAGTGCGGTCTTCAAATCTATAGGTCGACGATCACTTTCTAAAGCAACTCGAAATCACAATTGAACACAGGCAGTGCATGGACTCTACTAGATGCGTCAACCCGCGCAGCGAAGCCATTGTTCACCAGTCTTGGCCTTCAACGAGGAAGAATGTTTGCCATGGACATTCAGCCGGCATAGACTATATCAGCTATGCCTTTCGCAGAGACGTGGCTGATATCGCCATTCACTTTGAGGTTTCGGCCTCAAATTCGTTGACCAACTGCCATTTCTGACCTCTTCCAGCGACGATCTCCTGCATCCTCCCTACAGCGGCCCCATGACTCTGTTGTTTAACCGCCAATAGCAAGAAATATTCCCAAGCTCTTTTGACTTTCATGTGATCCATCCACATAATCACATCTGTTATCCTCTGTTCGATCCCGTCGGCGGCGGAGAGCGATGGTCGTCCAGTGCCGAAGAAAGGGTACTCAATTACAGTTAGCGCGGGAGCCGGGGCCAGTCAGTCGTCACGGCAACCAGGTGCTTTGCAGGGGAGCTCCCGCCCGTGTGCCCCGACCGGTTCGTCTGGTTTGATGGCTTTGGTTTGAAACCATTGACAATATGATGCCAATTGGGATGATCCAAGGACGGGGAGGCTGGTGATTATGAATAGCTCCAACCTCTCCCATTGAAGAGTGCCAGAGTCTCATGGGAGAGCAAAACTGGGACGGAGCAGCGTCTCCATGACTCTCTGATGGATCCAGGGGAAATGGGGAATCTGACTGCTGAGATCCATCAATGGTTTGAAGCCCCACTCGGGCGCTGCGGGCGGGATCCGTGAGGTAGGCAGGACCGCAGGTAGGGTACTTTGCCTTGGCCACGTCGTAGGCCTCCCTGGAAAAAGCAAAGCCGCCAGCCAGCCTCGTTTTGCATGTGCGACCGTCGACTTGCATGAGTTGTGCGGCGGTTGCAGACAGACAGTCCAATGGAGGTGTTCCACGATGTGTGAGACCCAGTATTGGATCCCCCGTATTGGTGTGAGAACTTGAGAAGTGGTCGATTGCTGATTTTCGCAGGGCCTCAGCAGCAGCCGCCGGCCTGAGAACCCTGGAAACAAGTGGCCGGGAAGGGCGATTGCAGCTGAAAAGTGGTTGGGGAAGCTCCACGACTGGCCAATTGAGTTTCCGGGCTGCCGCGGTCAGGCTATGCGGACCATGCAGACGGTCGATAGCGGGCATTTGGGCCGTGGGCGAAACGACGATCTTCGTACCCAGCCCCAAGTCGGTGTTTTGTTTGTTGTATCCGTAACTTGACGAGCGTGTCAACAAGCTGCCAGATGTGACAGGCGACATACACAGAGCGTAGTTCGTAAGGTCGGGAGCATCAGCGCAATTCGCGACAGCCGTCAGCAATGCAGCTGGACGCATGGAGGCATTCGACACGGCCCATCGTTAGTGTTTGTTCGTCGCCTCATGCTCAAGAACACAGCCAATGAGTCCATAGACTGGCGCCTCTCGAACTTGTGGCGCCCATCACGGCGCCTGAGTGGGAATGTCTGTGGGCCATGGGATACCATAATAATTTGCAGATTCTGGCCGATTGTGAGAATCCGGGGTTCCCTCTTCCCGGCACCACAAGGTCCCAGTTTCTTCCTCTTCTCTGGTCCAGCCTCGGGTGTTTTATCAGGGCCAGCTCAGCCAGCAAAGTTGGGGTTATTTTGTTGCTGATCGACCACGGCGCCTGTAATCTTGGTGTGAAGGGAAGGACCCAGAAACGAGCAGCCGAGGAGGAAGCTGGTCGGCGGCGGTCGGGCCAGCAGCTCTAGCTTGTCCAGGACGGTTGTCAATAATCAATGCTGGCAGGTCCACTGCTGGAGCTTGCGCAAGCGGGCGTCTTGGAGGTGCGATTACTGCCGACATTGCCTGGCACACTTTGCAGCGCTAGGGAAAGATGTGTGGGTGCGCATGTGTACCTAGTGCGTGGTTTGGGAGAGCCGAGCTCTGCTCTGTGGAAGCTTTGATGCTGTGGTGGTCCATCGAGTCGGCAGCATCTTGCATGCAGTAGGATGACATTCCATCGCATGTGAATGACTCGAATAGTTATTACTTGCATGAAGATGGGCCATTGAATCAATTGACCCCATATCGAAGTTGTCGGGCTGACAATTGAGGTGATTAGGCGTAGTGATTGAATGGTGAGACTCGGAAGAGAGAGCTTTTCGAGGTGAGGTGTGCGACATGTGCGGGCACGGGCAGTCAGAATCAGATGGGAAAGGAAGGACGGGAGGAACGAGACAGCGGGTACGGAGTACGTATCCGAGGTTCCTTCCATTAGCTCAGGAACGTAGCGTTGTACTGGTCGGTAAAGTACGTTTCCACCTCACCTCAAACAGTCGGGCAGGTCGCCATCGAAATGGAGAATGGGAAAGTGTGCAGTGGTGCCCGGTACCTGCTGCGCCGGAGCAAAACTGGTGCCTGACTTGGGTACCGTTGGCCTGGACACCTCAGAAGCAAGGCGTTCAAGGCAACTTGTACCGATGTACACATTTCCAGGGCGTCAAAGCTTCGAGCTGCAGCTCCGAGCTTCTCCTTCCCAAGTTCGCCCCATGTCAAGTCTCCACTTCCCATCCCCCAGACTAGTCCTCTTCGGGGCGGAATAAACAAACGGAATATCCACTGCTGGTTTGATGCAGGAGACGGGAGCCAATGTCAACATTCCCTCACAACACACGGCGCACTTTGACCACCTCTCTTGCTGGGAATTACTCGTCTTTCTCACTATTATCCGTACCTTGCCATTTCTGCCATTCTGCAGGCATCTTCCTCATCTCTCACCCTCGCACACCATCCATCACAACTTGAACCCACATCAGACAGAACACAGACTCTCGGTTGGTCTCTCCTCTCCTCTCACATCTTTTGATATCTTTCTCTCAGAAAACGAGACACACTCGATCTAATCCTGTCCAATCCAGATCATCCAACCCGCCTCCTCCGCATCCACTCCCAGCCGTCCATCCACCCACAAAGACACTGATCCCAGTCTCCAGTCCCACTTGGATCCAAGATACCAGTCCAGAGTCTCAAGAGGACACACTCGCACACTCTCACACACAACAGACAGTCAGACACACAACAGACACACTCACAACATTTCACCCCTTGCCCCGGCAACCCTTCGCAACCCTCGTTTTCTGCAGGACTGCATTCGCTCGCCGCTTGCTCTGCTGCTCGGTCCAACCATCACCCCCCAAACCCCCCGTCTTCAAAACCCAATCCGCATCGCACATCTCCAACGACCCTCTTCTCCCTCCTTCTTCTCTCCTCTCCATCCATCTTCAAAGCTTCAATCGCCCTTTTTGCCCAACTTCACCCTTCTGTCGGCACACCCCCTTTCCTCCAAATCCAAAAGAGAAGAGAAAAGCAGAAGCGCGTGTCACTCGAACGACCGGCTTCTTCCACCTTTTTCTTCCCCTTTGTTTTTCTAGGAAAACGAAGCAAGAGGATACTCTTCTTTGCCTTCCTCACTTCAGGAACGCTTAGAAGATTCTCCTCTCTGCGCCCCCAGAGCCGCCAATCTGGATTTTGAAGCTCGTGTCCCCGTCCCCTTTAGCGTCTTTCCCTCCACCTACAAGGAGAGTGAGACACAAACCCAGACCCAAACAGTCACTCAGACACATCAAGAGCTTGAGATCAAACTTCCCGAGAAGAAGCCCAACAAGCCCGGACGGGAGGAAAGTCAATACTCTTCCTTCACCACCATCGCCGAGTCGAAGCCGCAGCCGCCGCAGCAGCAAAAGCCGCAGCAGCAGCAGCAGCCTCTTCCCCCTCGGAAAGAGCAGCACCGCTACGAAGAAGAGGTCCGCATCGAAGAACACTACCACCGTCCCGGTGTCCACTACGAGTCCCACAACTATCGTGAGGAGTACCGGTATGTTTTGGTCTTTCTCTATCCGTTCTCTGTCTATCTGTCCATCACTCTCTCTTCCTCTCTCTGCCCAACCCTCTCTCTCTACCTGCGGCCGGATGTGCCCATCACAGCTTATGTATGGCATGGCATCGATCGATTCATCCAGCCTCCCCCCCTCACTCCCGCTTCCCTCTTCCCATGCAACCTCAAAACAACACATACCCACTCGCGTCACTCCGGTCACCGCCCCTTCTCCTCCCCTTGGCAACCGTCTCTCACCTACCTACCCATCCTCCTCCTTCTTCCACACACCCCTACCTCTCCTCCCACTGGGCACCCCGGCTCGGGACCGCTTCAGCTCGGGCCCCGGTATTTCGCCAAATTTCCCTCCTTGCCCATTACGAGCCACCAGTCATGGACCCTGGACGCCTCCTCCCGGCCCCCCTAGTCCCATGTTGGCCAAGTAACCACTTGTCACGTCAAATATGTCAACCAGAGCGAAAAAGCTTCCCCATCAAGCTCCCCCATCAAAACATCAACTGACTTCTCTCTTCTTTTCCTTCTATCCAGCCCTGCCCCTCCCGCTCCTGCTCCTGCTCCCTCTCAATACACCACTCAGCAAGAGTTCCACGACACTCGCATCCACCACCACGACACTCGCGTTGAGATCGACACCCGTCACCACGAGCACCTGGTAAACCCGATTGATAAAATCGAACGCCAGTACCGTCAACGCTTCCAGCCTACCTACCACAAGGAGGAAGTCACCGTCGAGACCTACCCGGCTCCTCACCACCACCACCACCACCACTCTCACTCCGACCACCACTCGGATCACCACTCCCACCACCAGCACTCCCACGTCGACGAGTACACCGTCGAGTCTGAGCGCCCCCGTCCTCAGCAGTACAAGGAAACCATCACGGTTACCGAAGAGACCATCGAGCCTACTCACGTCTCCAAGCCCCAACACAAGTCTTCCAAGATGGGTTACTACGACGAGGATGGTAAGTCGAGAAATCCCCCTCCCCAGTGCTCTGCTTGACCCCCTTTTGTGCGTGCGTGCGTGTGCTTGCTGGCTTGTCTGTCCGTCCAATGCTTGTTGGGCTTTGTGTGTGTGCGCGTGCGTGTGTTTTGGTTGCGCCGTTCGTCCCCCCAATCTATGGACCGACACTGAAGGGTGCTCGCACCACCAGGCCACTACCATTCTTTCCGTCAAGGCCTTCACAAGCTGGCGGACAAGATTGCTCACCCCCATCATCACCACCATCATCATCATGGTCATGCTGACCGTTACGAAGTCTCCGAGGTTCGCGCCGCTTCCGCCCCCCGCCGCCAGTCTTCCGGCTCTGGCTCCGGTGCCCCTCGCATTCCCAACACCGTCACCATCCCCTGCCACCACATCCGCCTCGGCGACTTCTTGATGCTCCAGGGCCGTCCCTGCCAGGTCATCAAGATCTCCACCTCCGCCGCCACCGGCCAGTACCGCTACCTCGGTGTCGACCTCTTCACCAAGCAGCTCCACGAGGAGTCCTCCTTCATCGCCAACCCCGCCCCCAGCGTCGTTGTCCAGACCATGCTCGGCCCCGTCTTCAAGCAGTACCGCGTCCTCGACCTCTCCGATGGTCACGTCACTGCCATGACCGAGACCGGCGACGTCAAGCAGGGCCTGCCCGTCATTGACCAGTCCGACCTCTGGTCCCGCCTCAACAACGCCTTCGAGTCCGGCCGTGGCTCCGTCCGCGTCCTTGTCCTCAACGATGCTGGCCGTGAGCTCGCCGTCGACGTCAAGGTCATCCACGGCTCCCGTCTGTAAGCGTATCACGCTATGTCAATGGTTTATCTAGCAAACATGTCATGTACGAATTACAGATGATCAGATGTAATGGAAGAAATTGAAGTCGATTTTTGGATAAAAACAGAACGGATAAAGGATCCAGGAGTCTTTTACGTAGATATGTAGCTCTGTATATGATCTGTAATCCATATGTTGGGTACTACACTATACTGTCTTCAATATGCTCCCTGTGATCTTGGTCATGCTCTGTGCTCTTGTTTTCGTTTCTCAAGAAGTGCCTTACTAAGTCTTACATATACCTGGTATAACCCAAGCTCAGCATGGCAGCTCGTAGCAGTACGTCACACCTCTGTCATACTTCTGACCAAGCCTTTGGGACGAGGAGTTGTGGTTGGAAGTGCGTGCTTGTCGTACAGCAAGGCATCTTCAGAGACATGCGCGAGTTGCTGCTCTCCCTCCTTACTGTCTCCCATCCAGTCATCAAGAGTACATGGACCAATTGACTATGTTCATCCACTAAATCTCACACGCCTTCAGAGCGTTGTGTGATTCCTGTAGTGATGTTTACTCATGGGCAGCACATTACAGGCATCATTCGACCTCTCGATACACCACCTCATCATGAGAAGAACAGAAGTCATTGTGACCGTCATTCACCGTCAAAGTCGTGGCGTCGTCACCTGTCAATCATATCTTGGGAAATGCCTCAGTTGAACTTGCGAGTGTGGGAACTTTGCCTCTTTTTCAAGCCTATATCTATCCTGTGGCGGTAGGGGCTCGAGTTGTGGTGAATGGATGAATGTTTTCGTATTTATTGTCAGAAGGCGAGTGTCGAAAGACTGGTGAATTTATCGTGTGGTTGCACAGAGGTCTGGGAAACCGCCACATGTGGTCCCCCCACCCTTTTAAGCCAGGACGTGAACACTTTTTGGATTTCATCAATCGTTCCCTCCGAGTAGGGCGGTTTAAAAGATCGTTATATAGACAAAGAAGGAGAGGAATATGAATCGTGGCGTGTTCGGTGGTGATGCTATCAAGCTCAATGATCGTGAACTCATGATCAACAGAGTCATACCTACGGGGACACAACGAATGCTCAAAGAGTGGTAGAGTTTCCTGGATTATAAAAGATGCCATGTTTCTATCCAAAATAGCCTCGTTATTCTTCAAAAACATCTCTGTACCCGGCAACGAAACTACCGAATCCCAAACGATAGTCATGGCTCCTAGTGATTTCAACACCCAGGTCCTTGCCGACCAGCCCTCCAAAATGATACAGGAATGCGACGAAGTGTTCAAATCCATCGTGAGGTATTCTGGCGAGATCCCTTATCACCTAGCGGGGATCATAGTCGACCATCTGTGGGTTCATTTTAGGAACTGGCTCAATAGGCACCTTAAGACGAACTGTGATCGACCTGAGCCCTTGTCCGGGTCGAGAGCTATCGATGAGAGAATCTCAATGGGAGGCGAACGCGAGAAAACCAACTTCGTCCACGACCTGAAAGTTCTCTACCACTATCTCGAGAAAAGTACATCACCACACCAATCCTAATAGCAATGGTTTGGAGTACTGACCGACCGAATCAAGTGACATCAATACTCCTCCGCGGAGCTGAGAACCGGCTGAGGGGCGACGAAGCCACTCGAAAAGATCCCTTGCCGCTAGGCTCACCGATCGAGATAGACTACGACATAAGGCTGGGTCCACGATCTGACCTCGGCTGGTACATGTTCTTCGGTATTCCGATGCGCCTCTTGCTCCTCGAGTCCGCGTCTTTCGTGTTCTCCGAGAAGGATGATGAGGCAGCCGATGCTTACCTAGCGGAGACTGTGAGCAAAGGTGCCATAGAGGGTGGATTGATAAACCAGCATATTCACTGAACCAGTCCTGCGAAAAGTTCGGTTCCCGGAAGTCCATGCATCCATCTCCTTTTTCTCCTTTGGTTAGGCAGAGAGAAGTGGATGGAACGATAGTCGGGGCTTTCTAAAGGAGGAGACAGCGATACCGACGGGCTTTCTTGAATCAGCTGCCAGGAAACCATCGTCGGCCTTGGGAAAGTACGGTACTATCGCGACTTGGGAAACACAGTGGAACACTGGTAATTGCGAGGAATGCGACTATTGCTTTTGGCTGGTTTACCTAGACCAGGCAGCTCCGGAATAGAATTCTTCACTTATCTCAGAATCAATCGTGGTATATGAACGTGTATGATGCGGGCTTCCCGATTACCTGTCTTCTTACGTATTCAACATCAGAGTCGGTTTTCAATGCCTACGCGATGGCCTCGCGTTTTTACTTGACGGCCAGCGTAGTTTCCCTCAACGGACAGGGAGGAATCGTTGAATCCGGCTACGCATATGTCATCGACGGATGGGAGTGGATAGAGCGTGGCGGAAACACTACTATATTTGTCATGGAGAAAGAAGAGACTAAGGGAGTCGGCGCACATGAGCTTTAAAGAAGAGCAAGAGAGGCATCGAACAAGGGAAGATTTGCCTCACGTCTATTTGGCTTTAGGATATCCTCTAGTGCAATTAGGAGCACTTCGGTAGCGATGGCTCTGTGCGTGAGACACGACTCCGGTACACTGCCAGTATGTGAAATAGGGGGAAAATTCGCATCTCCCTTCAAGTACGGTTGGCGTACAATAATCATCCATCTCATGTTATTCATATTGGATGATCATGTTTAGATCAACAAATCCTTCAGGCTTGTGACGCCCAGGTCTTCTTATTCTTCTCCGCGAAGTCACAAAATCGTGATGGGCGTTTCCCTGTCAACTCGACAACAACGCTGTTCATCCGGTCCTCACTCCCGTTTTTAATAGCCAAGTCTGCGTTGCCTAGCATCTCCGCAATGTGCGTAGGTAGACCTTGTCGAACATAGTAATCCACAAGCTCGCCAACTGAGAGGTTCTTGTGCGTGATCTCGCGGCCGAGAGTTTTGGAAAGGACCTCGGCGATCTGTATAACATCGTTACTCCTCCTGCGAGAAGGTCTAGTTAGACAACTGCACTTACATCGCCGTAGCTGAGTAGCTCGGGCCCAAGAATCAGATACTCGTCGTTTGGAGCACTCTTCTGGGTAAGTAGCTGGAAAGCACACGCAGCAATATCCTCTGTCGCAACCCAGGGAATCCTTCCGTCCCCGGTGGCAGAGTAGATAACACCTTCTTTCACAATAGAGTCGCGGTAGTTTTCTAATTCCGCAAAGTTCTCTGTCCAGCGATCAGCAATAGCACTTCCCCAGATCCTACCTAGGAATAGGCGCGCACTTACGTTGGAACCATGTCGGTCTGATCGCTGCCCATTCCGCTTCGCCCTTCTCACCAAGTTGCTTCAGATAGGCATGAGGTCGACCCATCCCCTGACTATTGATATCCGGCTCGACTGGACTCCCGCTCAGCAGAACGAATCGCTTCACATGCCCCTTGAGTCGCGCCTGATCAATGAACAACTCCACCGGCGGCAAAGGACCCCCTGGTGGCGCCACCAGGAATACGCTCGTCGCGCCAACTTCCAGAACCGTGTTCCATGTCTTCTCATCGTCCCAGTCGAAGGCAATCGATTTGATGTTCTCGGCGCCCGCCTCTGTCGTCGTCGACCCTTTGCGGGAGGCTTGATAGACCTGAACTGGCGTCGCCGCAAAGAGCTTGGTGAGCTGGCGGCCAACTTTACCAGTTCCACCAATGATCAACACTGTGTTTGAATGATCTCCTTCCATTGCTGCGCTTGCCAGATTGCCGTTTGATATTACTTGAACTGATTCCAATCATTCAGTATAACGAAAGAAAGGGAAGGAAAACTACATCGCTGTAAGGTGGAATGCTTCGATTACCTTACGGAGCTAAGAGTTAAAAGCCGCTGCGGACTTAAGATCCGACTAGATGTTACGACCCGTACAAAGATGACAGTCAACCGACCCACTCGGACGCAAGTCGTTCGTATTGATTGATTGATTTTGTCTCATTTGGTTTTGGCCGCTTCATTCAACAGCTATACCCAGATAACAAGGTTTAGCTTGTGGGACACATCTGTGGGCAGCGCTTGTCAAGCGGCACCATAATTTCTCGCCACACTACACATCCCTCAGCAGGGCTTTGAGTGCCTGTCATCGTTATCACCGCCATCATACCCAGAATGAACTCAGTCATGGCCAGGAAAGGCCCGGGAGAAACCCCCAGCTGAGCTCTCCAGAGGGAACCTTTAAAGACTCGTGTTGGCCATCAAACCTCTACGCCAGAGCTCTCCGACGATGCCGTTATACTATGATTTTGAGATCCAGACCTTGGCACGTCTGTACTCATTAGACTTTCATCCCATGATCTCCATCGACATTGCTCCAGCAATTGTTCAAGAGCGCAGTTGCGCTTCGCTTTCTCTATGTGAGCCCTCGTCTGCTCCGCGTGATGGTGTTGTATGCCCACATCCGGATTAATTGTACTTTGGAGGTAGGTAACTATATGCTGCCGCAACGTCGTGAGTGCTTAACTATTGCAATCAGGTAGCGCCATGTACTCGACATGTATGAGCCACTGAGAACCCTACAATAATGGCTGTGGAAGAATCTTCTGGCGACATCGAATAGAAGAAAGTACCAAGCCTACGATTCGCCGCCTTCATAGCTGCCAGATTCATGTGCTCCTTAACGAAAGCCACTGAACAGGCGACCTTGTTCGCTTCCCGAACTCGCGGGAAGTGAATGGATCATGAGACTGGTGCCAAATTCATACATGCCCTCCTCATCAACAGCAACACCAGCCCCATGGGAGCTATGCCTCTGTGGCCTCTTTCAGCTACTGCAGGTGAGGCTTCAATCGTGGTTACCTCTCTCAATGGCAGTTTTACCGCCTCAGAAATTCCACGAGCTGTCCTTAGTGCCTCTATTCGAGCTCGTATTGAACACGTTCCACCTAACCAAAGACTGTCGAGGCTTGATTGCGTAACAAGTCCTCCTATCGCTGTCATTAGCGTTACTACACGGGATCGCAGTAAAGCAGTTGTTCTCTTACCGGTCATACGTGCCCGTACAGTACATGCCGCCAGTCTCTCAAAACTCGGTTGCGCTTTTTGTCCTCTCGCATGCTGGGGCCCGGTCCTTGGTTGTACCACAACGATGAAAGCACTGAGTAAACCGCCACACACGATCTCGTCGGATTCAACCTTTGGACGTAAATGTATCTGGAATCACATTTGAACTGCATCAATCCTCAGAAGTTCAAACTGATGACTAGCTAGACAAAGGTAGATAAAGAGTCTGAATCACCAACTGTTCAGTGGGTGCTGTCAGGCTCAGTTATCGCGGGCCCGTTATGGAATAAGCCGGTTGAGGGCATTTGCTAAATATCTTTTGGAATACATAAGACGTCATCTTCATCTTCATTTTCCAAAATTGCTTGGTCACTTCTCACAAAACATCTCTGCAACCGAATCGAAACCACACCGCCTTACACCATAATCATGGCTCAGATACCGATTTACAGTCCTTTTAAAGACGAAAAAAGCATATTCCGCTTTGGACATGAGAAGACATCAAAGTTTGTTGAAAAGTGCTTGTTGATGTTCGCCAGCGCCATCACGGAGACTTCCGATACTGGCTACAAAGATGCCCTTATGAACCTTCAGCATAGCTTTATGCAGTGGGCTATCAAAATCATGGGTGCGGACGACAACGGAGACTTGTCAGAAGAGGGAGAAAAAATATTCGACGAAAACCTGGCGAAGCCTGACGCAGACCCGAACTTCCGTAGGAGAATCCAAATGTGCTTAGATTTACTGTGGTATGATCTCATCCAAGGTAATTCATCGCGACGGTCCGATATTCAGGTATTCAATGCTGACGGGAGTGGTACAGTCCGCGAGATGTTGAAGGCAAATCCCACAGTGGGTAACAAAATTTTGGGCGAGAAGCCTACGACGAAAGATTTCGGCAAGATCGACTCCAAATCTAGTTCCGGGAAGGAAGATCTTGAGGCATGCCTCGGTCCGAAGTCAACACTGGGCACCTTGTTGTTCGAAAGGATTCCAATGTTTTGCAAAATTATCAGGAACCACTATGCCGAATTCTCGGGCGATTTCAAGGAAAGCTTCGTCCCCTCCTACTCCCCGGAGTACTTGCAGAGCAAAGCAAAGGATGCTCTCCAGCGAATCGACCCTCCAAATTACCCATCCCCGCGGCCGGCAAAGTAAGCAAACAAAACGCCTGCTGGTTGAAGCAATCCATCCGTAAATCTCCAACAGTCAACGCGGGCACGTAGTGTCACTTCAACGGTGGGCAACCATAACGCGGGGTTACCAAGCGAGCTGTGAGGAGATCAACATCAGCATTGAGGAGTAACCGCTGTATAAGGTATGCAACCGCAGCACCGCCGGACTTGAAGAATATGAATCAAGAATTTTGGGCTGTTACGAAGAATGCGGCACTTTTCGGCTGGTGTCTTTCCTTCACGTGGGTCTGGACACGTTCCATCTCTCATCCGGCTTGCATCTTGTTTCTTGAAGATTTCCCCAGCATTATTATAGTTCTCTCCCTGCCGCGTGAAGCTCAATTTATCAACGACCAAAAAAAGGTAGAAAAGACATTTAGAAAAAGGAAAAAAAAGACCATTATTATTAAAAGCTTCTTCTATTTGACTGTGAAGTTTGACTATATTGGAAGTGTGCCACTGCCAGCCAGGCCTACCAACACCACCTCCTCCTCCGCCTCCGTCACGCCGCCGTCACTAATGTACCGCAAATGCACTTACAACATTGCCTTGAATGAATAAGGAGGAAAATCGAGGTTAAAATAGGCAGGGAAATTCCAGCAGTCACTTAATACGAATTTTTGCTTGTGACTCCAGGATATTCGTAATTGTGAGATCTCTATGCCCATAGGGAACCGTTGCATGTGACTGCAGACACCTGGAATTCCGACCGCCAACGTCGTACTGGGATCCTGGGTCGAAGCACAAAGGATTGGGAGAACCGCCGCGGACGATCTCAAATAAGCGTTTCGCTTACGTCGGTAGACTTGTGACTTCTTGCCTTGCTCAGTACAATGCTTGGTCGACAAAGAGAAAGAAGAGAATGGATCGCCAAGTGACCAGTATGTGCGTTCAAGCTCGATCGTCATAGGCGCGACGAGTCGGGTCGGCTGAGGGCATTCGCTGAACATGCCTCTTTGTCCTGAATGTCTATGGGCGAAGCAATGAGATGAATCTTTCGTGTTTTAGTCTATTAAAGGACTCATTTCTGCTTCCCAGGTATCTAGGCTAATAACGCACCACCAACGTTTCTACCATGAACTCTCTTCCTATCGCAATTAAGGCAGTCGTCGGGGAGAGCCAACAAGAACCTCCTCCATCAACCGGCGAAGATACAGTGGCTCTTTTAGATGATTGCCGAGAAGTCATTGAACAGATCTTCGAACGCACTGCGGCTTACCCTGAGGATTGGTACACATATGCCCACATGTGGCTGGTCTTGAGGGCGCGAAAGACTCAATACGAAGACAAGTGCAACATACTCGAGAAGGCGAGGTTGGAGTACATTATAACCGATTTCAAAAAAGGTAATATAGTGCCAAATTTAAAAAGCAATATTAGAAAGATTGCTGATTGAGGTAATGCAGTGAGAGACATACTCACGGGAGCAGCCAATAACAGGGAAAAGGTCGAACGCGAGGATATGCCAGGTCACGATTCAGAGTTATACCAATCGCTAAAAAATATCGAACTGAATCTTGGGGAAGGCTCACCTATGTCCCTCGCCGACAGAGGCATTACCTTTAAGGATGACTCGTCGATGTCCCTCGCCAATTTCAGTCCCTAGATCAGCCCCGCAGATATAAATGTCGTCTGTTGTCTAAGGGGAAGATTGTTGCATCTCAGAATGCACGGAAATTGGGAAAAACAGGCACACGACAAACAGAGCTACTACGAAGAATGGGGCGCTTTCCGGCTCGTTCATTTGGTCAGAAGGTTTCTGGACAGATTTTACCACAGATGTGGCTCACCTTGTCGTTCATTCAACAAATAGCTATAACTATTGGGCTCTGGAAAAGGAAGAAGAAAAACATCATAAATATTGAAAAATACAGCATGATTATCAAATAATATGTTCCGCTCATGAGAAAAAGACGCATCGAGATGTCACACTGGACGCCAGATGCAGGAAAGGGCTCGCGAAACGGGATGTCGCATCTTGCAGGCTTTCTCCTCAACAATCAACAATCGAGCATCCTTCATAAATCAAGTAATTCCCTCTGTTATATAAGAGTGAGGTATGTACTGACAGAAGTCCCAGCGCCCAGCGCCCTTTTTGTTTTTTTTTGGGGGGGGGGGGGTGCCCGCGCATGTTTAGGTGTAGACCGCTTAGAATAGTTATTGCCACCATGGTTCAGGGACTTGATGAGCTCCGTCAACTATTCGGCTCAAGCCACTCGATCAGGATGACAGATCATCGACCTTGTGACTTTAGCCAAACCTTGCCATCTTCCTGTCAGATGCTTCTCTTCTGGGTAAGGTAAATTAGGAGTAAGGCATTGAACGAGCATGCTCGCGACACAATACGGCGCCCCGTGCATTCATGAGCGATTAAAAGTACGGAGTAGCGCGCACTATACTCTTGCATCATTCATTAGTATTCGCGAAAGTCATGTCGATACAACAACACGCCTGAAGCTTTCGAGAAAGCAACTCACAAAGGCCCGGGCGGTTGTAGCTTTTGGACCCTCTTTTCCCGACCCGAGCCCGGACCTCCCGTGCAGGGTGGGGTCCCGGGTCGCGGCATATAGATTTGGCTTACCCCGTCTCTCATGCTCTTTGCTTTTGTCTTTTATCTGCCTCCTAACGCTACAACAAGAAGCGTCTGATTTGGGATATTCTTCTAGTTGTACGTGCCGACGATGTCAAAATTGACATGGCACCCAGTGTCTAAGGTACTCGTCGCCGGCTCTGGAGAGCGGAAGGGCCTGAGCATAAGGCAAGGTAGTAGCTGGTAGCTCGCAGCTGAAGACAGGTGAGTAAACATAACGCTTAAATCAGAAATTCCTCCTTTGGAAATTGCAGAGCAACATCGCATGCAAGTATAATAACCCCCGTTGATGCTTTCTGGCAATTCTACGGAGGGCATTACGAGGAGCACTACCTTCAGCGCGGCAAGAGACCGCGCAAGTTCATTTAAGTACTGTAGGTGCCGATGCATGTCGTCACGACTAGAAAGCGCCATACAACTACTTGCCGCTTTGAGTGAACTGGGAAGAATTTCTCGGCATATGTATGGCCACGACGGTGGTTCTCCGGCTCGGCGTAGCCCTCCCGGCTCATATCGGGCCTAGGCCTGGGGGTTCATCGGGACGGTCCCTGTAGCGAGCCCCACCCAACACCGAAAGGGCCGCTGAGAGCGATGCTAAAGATGTGCCCATAGGTATCAAGGCATAATTCCCACAGATGCGGTTTTCCATAAATTTCTTTGAGAAGGACCAAAACACGCTTTCGCTTTGGACATTAGGGGTGCCCAGCATTCAAACACCCCAGACCTCACCTCCCCTCCTTTCCACTGAACAGGTGCCTAAGAACTTATCTTTCATGAGGTGCACCCCTAGTACCCCCTGGGTCAGCCTCCATGGCCTCTTTCTGTTGTAAGACTGCAAACGAAAAGCAGAGACAGTGATTTGTATGTGTCTTCGGGCCGATGGTTTACATATCCCAGGAGGAAACTCCTATGATGTTCTTGGTTTCTTTATCGCGTGCTTGTGACAGTGCCACATGAGGTTCAGATTCAAATCATCAAGTACACCACCAGTCGTCCCCTCAGTCGTATACCGGCATCTGTTCAACTACAACCACTGAGTCACCAAATCTGAAGCAGCGAATTTGAGCAAGCCATAACTCGAGTTTCGTCATACTCTTTTTCCTCTTGAACAGTGAACGTTGGCCCGTGGTTGAAGTACAAAGGACGAGGAAACCGCCACAGGCGGCTGGGGCCAGTGATAAGGACGTTCTGAGATTCTGCCAATTTCCAAAAGACCAGGTGAACATACAACCGGGTAGACAAAGAAGAAGAAGAAAAGTTTGGTTTGCCGACAGTGAAGCCTGTTCTGTCGGTTCTGCCATGTTGCTGCTAGGTTCATGCAGCTGGTCTCTTTGTGTCAGGTAAGGTATTTGCAGGCTGACGCAGGGCTTCTGGCCTACTTATAGGTCACTCTTCCTTCCTTTCCATATGGCCTGACCGATTTACACGTAACTTCAAAGCTCAGAGATATCGTAATAACCTCGTTCCACAATCATGGCGAGCATACATCTGAAAAGATCGATTGGCACGGTAGTAGAACTGGTGAAAGAATGCAACCGAGTCTATACCACATTCGAAGGCAAGACGAAACACGGCTCGGAGACGACTCCGCCGGCATGGTTCGAATTCAAAGATACGATTGAGGCTGAGCATGAAACCTGGAAAGCAGTCCGAAATAGAATCGAGGTATGGCGAGCCAAGCAGCTATCAGGTTCTTCGTTCAGACCCAAGGTAGATGATGCACTTGAAGCATTGGAGCCTTTTAAATCAAGTCTCGTCAAAGGTGAATCTGTTTTACTTCCAAAGCCATTGGCTAACAGAAGTGCTGATTTGAGTAAATTGCCTTAGTGTGTGACGATCTCCTCAAACCTGAGACCTATTATGCGCCGCCGGAGACGATTGAAGAGTCGAGAAAACTTAAGGGGGCTATGGATAATCTGCTGGAAATATTTCCATCTTCCAATGCGGAAGAGAATAACCTCCTGGGCGATTCGCATCCCCAACTTATCGAATGGCTTCCATTTTCTAATTTAGAAGAGAATAACCTCCCGAACGACTCGCAACTCCAACTTGTTTTATTCTCTCCCGTCGACCACCTCTCCGAAGACTGATCCGCCTCTTGATCTACTTCGGAAAGTAAACGCTGCATCCGATATCCCAGCACAACTGGGCTTAAAGAAGATGGTTGGGTTTAGAGTCGCGGTACTTATTCAGCTTGTCAAATTGGGGTTGCGGCCTGTACGCAATATGCGAAGGTTAGTTGAGGGAATTTCATGGTGGTTAGCTTCAATGGCAGTCAACCATATCCCGTCAAGGCATGTCTACTTCAACACATTAAATCGAATGTGTGTTCTCATCATTACCTTGCAAGTAATCCTACTTGTTATCATAGGTTAAGTGCGTATATTTTACGGTTAGTTACAGCTGGTCAAGTCAAGAGCAAAAGATAACCAGAGTTAAACCCCATAAGCTCCTCACCGCCATGAAGTAGGTGAGGGGATTCGTGACTGTGAGGTAGTATGATCTGTGTGAAAGCAGAGGAGGGCTTCTCAGATAGAATGAAGAATCCAAAGATCATCTAGGCAAACGAATCTCATTTCCACTCCCTCCTAAAAACAAGACGTATTATGCTCTACTCGTCCGTCAAAGTCCCAAGTCCTGTTCTATACTAACCTTACTCGTCTCCTGGCAGCTACCATATACCTTCCTCCGCACTCGTACTCTCTGGCCGACTTAGGCCCAACACCTTGATGCGTGGATGAAATCTGACTCAAAGGATGCATAAGATGTATCGAAGGATCAACAGCTCATGTTCAACGCAAGCTTCCAGTCGTGATAGCTGCCTCAAACGGCACCGTATTTCGGCCCCGCTTTTCCCGGTCATCTCCCGGTCCTCCCGCATCAGTGGACCCTCCGTTTCGCCGCGCACGAATCTGGACTCGATTGCAGTGCTGGGCTTATCTCCCACGCGTTTCTTGATCAAATTTGACCTGTTTCCCAAATTCGAAGAGATGTAATGCTGCTCCCCGCTTCTTATGTGTCTTAGGCTGTTGATAACGCCAAACAGGAGGTAGCACCACTTCATCATCGGGAAGACGGAGTAGGTCAAGATATCCCCTTCGAAAAACAAGTCCAACAGGATTCGGAGGCAACCGATGCTCATCTGGAAATCAGATCCCATAGGCGATAACTACCTTGCAACAAAGATGCACACGTAAACCAGCGTTTCTGCACTTGACAATCGTGGATCCCTATGGCGTGCTTCCGCATCATCGTCGCCATCACTCAAAAACTCACAATCCTAAATAACACGACAAACAACCCAATCAGTCCCCTCAAGCCCACCTCATCATGTAGTCCTCTCTCCGACATTCCGTATCAGAGTAAGCACCTTGATGGTTCCCCATTCCCCCGGCCTGCGAGTGCGTGACTCTCCAATCGCTCCCTCGTGGGCACCTAATCCCTGTCGACCCAACCCCAAAGTTCCCCAAACCCTCGTCGCTGTATGGCTGGATTTCCCCCATGAAGCACGTTAGAGCAATCGCCGACCCCTCCATCCCTTCTCGGACTCGACTCCAACTGATAAGAGAAAGAGTGAGACAGAGAAGAGAGACGCGCAAGTGCGGGCACCACACACCCAACTTTACCCCAGGAAGCTTGTTCATGACCTTCCCTACCAAGATAACTAGCAAGCACAAGCGAAGCAACCCGGAGAGACAACTATACCCCCTTCTCTAAGGCCGGTATCAGGCGGATCGAAACGAAGGATGGTTGGTGTGAGGGGTCGCGGGGGGTTCTAGTCTACGACTCGTGCTGCCAGCTCCTTTGTCTTAAATAGCACAACCTCAGCCCAGCCTTCTTCATCGGTAGTTAGATCTGGACTTGAGCTCTCATCTAACCTCCCAAGCTTTCTGACCTCTAACGATTGCGTGATCGTGTTTCTCTTCTGCAACAATAGGCGTCGACATCCGTGACGTCCCGTTATTTTACCGCGCTCAGCTTCCCTTACATTGCTTGTGAGGAAGCTAACTTCACATTCAGCTTCAAGCTCAACCACAACCACAACCTCAACTACGACCTAGTCCGCAACACAAGATAGAGTAGCCAAGATGGGTTCCCAAGCATCCAAACCCGCCGTGGACGCCTCCAACGAAAAGGCTCTCCTCGAGCGCCTCCGCCGCTTCCAAGTAACCGACGACGACTTCGTCAACGTCGCCTCCAGCAGCAGCGATGACGAGAAGCGAGACATCAGACTCGTCCGCGAGCCAGAGGGCCTCCCCGTCCAGCAGACGCAGTCTTGGCAGTCGAGGTTCCTCGCCGACCCAAAGAACAAGTACACACTCACCAAGCCCCATTCTCCACGATAAGGTATCTCAGAACACAAAAAAGCTAACTCATTGTCTTCCGCAGACTCGCCCTCACGGCCCTGAGCACAGCAGACCCCCGCACAGTCCTAACCTCAACAGCAACCAAGCTCGCCGACCCCCAAATCTTCAACACCCGAATCCCCTTTGAAGGCGGTCCCATCACGAACCAGCGCTCCTCGGGCCGCTGCTGGCTCTTCGCCTCCACGAACGTCTTCCGCGTCGCCCTCATGCGCCGCTACGCCCTCGACTCGTTCGAGCTCTCCCAGTCCTACCTCTTCTTCTGGGACAAGCTCGAGAAGAGCAACTACTTTCTCGAGCAAATCATCGACACCGCCGCCGCGGGCGAAGACCTCGACGGACGCCTCGTCCAGGCTCTGCTGGGCGATATCGTGAGCGACGGCGGGCAGTGGGACATGGTCTACAACCTCGTCCAAAAGTACGGCCTCGTCCCGCAGGCGCTGTACCCGGACTCGTGGAACGCCATGAACTCTGGTGTGCTCAACTCCATCGTCAAGACGAAGCTCCGCGAATACGCCCTCGTCCTCCGCAAGCTCGTCCAATCTTCCCCGTCAACTACAGCAGAGACCCTCACGGCGACAAAAGAGAAAATGATGCGCGAGATCCTCTCCATCCTCACCCTCGCCCTCGGCCCGCCCCCCAACCCCCGCGACGAATTCACCTGGACCTACCTCGACAAATCCTCCAAACCGCACACCCTCAAAACAACGCCCCAGGCCTTCGCCCGCGACATCTACTCTTCCGACCTACGCATCACCTCCTCCGTAATCGACTCCATGGTCTCCCTCGTCCACGACCCGCGCCACGAACCCCTCACCCTCCTGACCGTCGACCGCCTCGGCAACATCGTAGGCGGCCGCGGCGTAACCTACGTAAATGTCTCCATGCCCACCCTCAAATCCGCCTGCGTAGCCATGATCAAAGCAGGCCTCCCCGTATTCTTCGGCTCCGACGTCGGGAAATTCAGCAACTCCGCCGCCGGGGTGATGGACCTCGACCTCATCGACTACGAGCTCGGCTTCAACGTCTCCCTGCTGGGCATGGATAAGGCCAGCCGCCTCCGGACGGGCGAGAGCGCCATGACGCACGCCATGGTCCTGACTGCCGTGCACATCGACGAGGAGACCGGCGAGAGCGTGCGGTGGAGGGTGCAGAATAGCTGGGGCGAGAGCGCGGGCGATAAGGGATGGTTCGTCATGAGCGACGCGTGGATGGATGAGTTTGTCTACCAGGCTGTTGTTGATCCGCGGTTCCTGAGCAAGGAGGTCCGCGGGGTTATTGGGACTGAGCCGACTGTGCTGCCGCTGTGGGATCCCATGGGAAGTTTGGCGTAGAGATCTGGTTAGATCCCGCGTGTGCCGTGTTAGATAGGCCCGGGGGGGGGGGGGTTATGAGATTGGTGGATGGCGTATTCATCCACTCCCCGTTTTCTTCTGGGGTTGATGCAGACGATGGTCTAGATTCTTTTACGTACTCAGCAGGACAGCGTGTCTATTTACTCGTTTCGAAATATCAACTCACCCGAAGCCAGTCTCAAAAGATGTGCACGCCATCACTTCCATCCGCGGCCGTGGTTTTGACAGCTTTTGCCCACGGGATAACCCAGCATGGGAATGGAGACTCTTTTGGGTCCGGCGCCATCAACGGTCGTCTAGCTCAATCCGGACCGGCGTCAGACCAACGACGCACGAAGTGGACAATGTGGACTACGCCAACTCATCATTCATCAACTTCAGTCAGAGTTTCCGTCGACCTGTACTCCTGCTCCATCTCTAACTCTAGTCAACGTCAACATACGCGCCCCCGCACACCGTCTCCGGGACGGACACAGCCTGAAGACCCGGACACCTTCCCCGGAGCGGTCGACCACGAACCCCGGGTTATTATCCCGCTTCACCACAGGCTTTCTTGGCCAACCCCACTTCGCTTCACCGAGAACAGTTTCGTCCGGGTGTCCGGGACAAAGGGTCCATTCAGTAATGTAAGCAGCCGCACAGGCTATACACTTTTGTGTCTTCCCCGGCCCGCGAAAGTTATCTTCCAAGGCCGGACGCCTTCTGTATACTTTGGTTCGGCGGGTTGTTGGCCTCAAAAAGGACAAAAGTGAGGCGAAGGAGGGTCCCGGTTGCGGGCCCTTGCGTACGAGCAGAGTTTTTGTCCGTATTTGGCGCCATCTTCGGCAATTGCTGAGTTTGCTGCTACCTGCCACAAACCTACCGCATCCTGCCATTTACTTTGAGGCATACTCTTGAGAACAGAAGACGTGTTCTGATGAGATGACGAGAGATGGTAGAGAGGCGAAGCTAAGCCGCATAGTCCATCTGTTTGCGCCTTGTCTAAGCCTTTCGTGAACTAGATCAAAAGCTGGTCGACAATATCGAGCCCAATCACGGCACGTGGAAGAACGGACTACGCTTGGATGAGAACTAGTTCCATCACGCATGGCCAAGTGCCGCTTGAGGGCACATTAGTGCTCAGGTCGACTATTCACTGTAGTCGGTGTCGTTGCCTGTCTTGCTAGGCAATGCAGCTCCCGGGGCATTGACTTGGTTAGAAGCGCCAACGATATATAGAGTGCCATTATCTGCGCGACTGGTCAGCACGCTCAGCCGCACAGTCGCCAGCTCAGGTTTAATCTACGGAGGCTACATGGCCTCAATTCAGATGACGTTACGGTGTTTTCTTGGCACTGTAGTGAACCACGTGGGAAACAGACCATTCCAAACCTCATCGACCTGCCCGTGGAGAACTCAGCGTGAATCTTGTGTCTGCTGCATGCATCTTCCAAGCTTCGTGGAGAGCATCATCTCGTATCAAACTCGCGCACGTAGCACATCAAGGTCCGCCATCGTCGGCCGATCTGGATGAAACGTTGCGAGATCGAGATGCGAGAATAAGCATCTCAGAGTTTTCTTTCCTTCACCGAGATGACGGTCTCCGGAGGCTAGAACAGGTCACTCGTGGGTCAATAAAGCGGAACGGCCTGAAATGAACAGCAAATGCCCTTTGGACGGATGTGCCCGACATTGGTCGGGTGTGAACCCAACGGCGCTGTTTAGGGGCTTGGGATTGTCAGGACGGGGGAATCCCCGTCTTGGGCTTCGCCGGAACGGACGTTGTTGGCGGGTCTCCGGGACTGCCCCTGTCCAAGTGTCAACGTTGTCTGACGGGGACCACAGCAGACGAGAGTAAAAGCTTCTCCAGAGGAATTAGTGTCCAGAGCGAAATGGTCTCCATGGTTGTTCACCGAAGGAACGCGTTGAACAGGTGGGTAAGTCAAGCCATTTGGCAAGGCCAATGAATAGTACACCGTCAACGACAGGCCTGCTAGGATCATGTCTTTCGGCAGGGCTGTTTGGCGAAGCAACTGAAATGGGATGCTCCTTGTCTGAACGGAAGAAAACCGGGGAAGAGTATCGCCGTTGCCTCTTTTTGGTCGTCGGCGTGGCTGTCAAGACAGCCATCCCTTGTGTTGAGTATCGTTCGTCGCCTTTCACAGGTAAGGCAGCCTGGGGGACGTTGCACCTGTTGCCTTCTTCCATGCGTTTGCGGCTTGCCTCTGCAAGAAACGCCGCAACCTGCGAGTGAGGGAAATACTGCGACAACAGCCGGGTGTCGCCAGAGCATAGCGGTGAGCAAGCAACGGAGACATGTCGAGTTGCATCGCATCTTTGGGGCTCAAAGATCAGCCCCATTGACCCCACGCGGCAGTTGCGGTTTGTAAACGCAGAAAGGCCCAAGGAGGATCGAGTCAGGGCGGGCAGACGCAAGTCATTGCTTGTTTGGTAGTATGCTTTGCGCTGTGGCGTGGCCTTTGTATGCAGATAATATGGGTATGCGCCTTGCAGAAAGGCGAGATGCTGCAGATGTAGTCCGATGGAGAGGGAAGGGCGAAGTCAGGTTTCGGTGGCGGCATCTGACCAGCCAAGGTGTTGACGAGAAGTTGAGGTGGGTTGAAAGTGTGTGAGGTGGTGCGGGGTGGTCTGCCGTCGGCCGCTGTATTCCGTCGGCATCGCCCAGTCAATAATGGTAGTGATATCCATACTTCCGAACGCCTAGTGTCGTATGGTGTTGAACTCAAGCCCGGGGGACGGCGGCGCGGAGAGGAATCCAGAGTTTTCGACACGTCCCATAGTTGGGCTTGGTGCTTGGCGGTTGCATTGTCGACGACTGACAACCATCAGGGAAAGAGGCACGACAGGCGGGTAGATGCAGGGAAACTGAGGCCGAAGATGCAGGAGGTGTTGGTTGGGTTGAAACGGGGCATGGTGTTGGATATGCCGCTGGCCAAACAATGCCACAGCATTCGCAGTGTACGAAGTGCAGACACCAGAGTATAGAGTCTTGCAACTGGCACTGGAACCTGATGTATGGGACTGAGCCCGACGGGCCAGGGGCTGTGAAAGGTCGCTCAGAGACACCCACTTGAACATGGACATGGTTGGAGTCAAATGTCGGATTACCGGCTCGGTGGAGCACACGACAGGCGACGTTGGACGACAATGGGCGCCTCAATGTCCGCGAGAGGAAGGGATCGTGGTAGTTAAGGTTTGAGAAGTGGAGGATGAGCGTGTGGCAAGCAACAGAGACTGCGACGAGGCAACCAATAGCGACAGGCCGGTATGGTTTTCTGAAGCTCATGAGTGCATGTTTGGAGGGGCACATTGCCTTTCTCGATGTTGAAGGAATCTGGAAGGGCGCAACATCGACGTCTCTCTGGCTGTGGTTGACCGTTGAAGTTTTGACGAACCGTCGACGATGCAGCATGTCGTTGGCTTGCTCCTGCCCTCCCGTTTTCTGTTGAACGTTCCTCTCCTTCCATTCAAACTTACTGCGTAGTCCACTGAGGAATACGTACCTCTCCTTTCCTGACAAAGCAATCTGGAAGTAATAAGTACCCAGGTACCTCAAATTCCAATGGCAAGAGCGAGTTTGCAAGTTCCGAAGTTCCTCCTGCCTTCTTCCTGCCTTCTCAAGATGGCCCATCTTCAACCATGACAACGGCGCGGTCTAGACTTTCTGGCCTCTTGAAGTTGCAAATGAAGCAATTTCTTTCTGTGACATCCAACCCGGTTGATCGATGCAAACGAAGAAGTAATCGAGAGGAAGAGAGAACGCAGCCGTGGGCGCCCTACGTGTTCATGTTTATGCACCAAACAGCATCTTCCATTGGCCCCAGTACAGGCCATTCCTAGCCAAAGACAATAATTCGCCAACCGTCTCCCGAACGGTCTTTGGGGGGACGTCGACGTCCCTCGGCCACAAACTCCCCGTCGTCACCACGCGCTAACACAATCTTTCAGGTCCAGTCACCATCATTTCCGTTGACGCTGACGTCGGTCAAATTCCCGCCTGCCTTTCTAGTTGTCACTGGCCACCGACCGTATCTGTTAGTCAGGGACCCCGAGCAGTTCCCCTGCCCTAGGCATCAGCAGTCGGTTCGGCGCCGTCGAATCTCCAGGGCAATGGGCCATATTCCGTTCATCCCGCAGAAGAGACGAATTGCGACTTCAATATTCGAGTCGATGAAGGATCTTGGACAAATGGAGTCTCGGAATTAAGCACCCTGGAGCGGCGCCTCTTGACGATGTGCTATCACAGCAGGATCTCTCTTTACCAATCGGCAATAGAGTTATTCAACACTATTCCACCAAGCACCGGAGAAACGAGGCCAAACTCTCCATATCTTGCCTGGAAAGATTGAAATCTAGGATGGGAAACTTCGCCGTGCCCTGAGAAGCGCCAGACGCCAACTGACCAGTCCGGTACGGTCCTAATCCTGGCCTCACATTAGCTCCTCAGTCCTGATTCACGTCCAGCCCAGCAGGACGTCATCGCCGTGATCGACATGGACGACAACCGGCTTCCCAAAACGGCAAGAGAGCGACCGTTTTGCACACCATCAACACCTTGCCAACAGCCATCAACCCGTCAACTGCATGCTTGCTCACACCAATGGCAGGGTTTTTCGCCTCGCCTCTGAGGTACGGAAGACCGTCTCATATCCCTCCGCGGGAAGGCTCTGCTACCTGAAGTTTCACTCTCCTGAGCCAACGCCATCAGGTCGGACCCTTGGGTCGGAATAATTACACCAATCTTGGCTGAGTTCATTCTGCGGCACCTGCGCCCTCGTCTCTCCCTTGTCTCGGGACACTTTTGCACTTTGGATCGAGGCGGCCATCCATGTTATCTTCTGTGTACCTGCTCCGTAGTCCTCTGCACAATATCATCATCATTGTCTTTGGAGGACACATTCCACATTGCGCATCCCGAGACGTCAGCGGTCAGCAAGCAGCGTCGTTGCCAACAAATCAACAGTCACTTGCAACAAATTGCATGTTTCGGTACGGAGCCAGGCTCCTTCTGATTCTGCCAGTCGGAAAGCCACAATCCGTTTTGACATTCATAGCTTGACAACGAATTCTCCGAGCAAAATTTGGCTTTCTGCTGTGGTGCCTGAATGAGCACCACACGCCACAGAAAAGCAGACACCGAGATAGGCATTGCATGTCAACTTCAGAAATCCCCCGTCTCATGCGACGTCCGCCTGGTTTTCATCTGAACTTTGTGAGAACCATCTACACTGCAGACGAAACGGCCCTAGCCAAGCAAACTGCTCCTGCATGTACCCTCTGACTGGCCTAACTCTTCGACCTCGAGTCTGAGCACCTTCAACCAAGGTGTGGATACTTAGGCTCTGTGGCTGCTTGTCAATCCAGCTGTCGACGCGCTTGACTGTCACTGTGGTGGGCTAAGAATTCTACCTAACAGTGGAAGGTAAAGGCCATGCCACCCGGCACTGGTGTGATTAGTCTGCCGTCATCTCGTTGGCTGCCCCATCACTGACGGCGACGCTACCTCACGGCATTGGCATTGACGTTGACGCACGTCCGCCCATCTTCTACCAATATTTCTCGTCAGCTTGGGGCAAGGTACAACCAAATACTTTTTGGTGATCATTTGCAGTACTACACGTCCAGAGGTCAGCACCCGAGAAGAAGACGCTCTTTGGCATTTGCGCTACATGCAGCCTTGTCACGACGAGAAGCGACCAGCCGTCGTCAAGCCCGGATAACCGCAGCCACTCGCCATCTTCCAAAGACCCCTACTGGAGGAACATTGTGCGCCTCGAGTAACCCGTATACTACACCATTCGACCGAGTGACATCCTTGGCCTTATCACCCAAGTCCTTGGTTTTCGCAGAATTCGCCAACGCCCGTACCGATACCACCGACACGACGCCTTCAGTAATTCGTACTTTGTACGGATACACTACAGCCGGTTCCCCGCTACACCGAAGACAAGCTCTCGGGCAACCAGTCGTATTGTCCCATTGTTTGCTGACTGTCTCCCTGACTTCCCGCTCTCTGCTGCTAAGGGGATAAGAATACGCGGCCTGGAGAGGGTCCGGTGCATCCATTCATCAGCATCCATCATCAAAGCGAACCCCCCGCGATCCTTGCTGCTGAGTCGACAGGGATCAGTCGACTCCTCCCTCCGTCATTGCGCCCGGGATAATCCCCCTCCCAGACTACTCGACGTCGCAGTGTCTTCAACCACTGCCCAAGTTTTGCCCCCCTTCTCTTCTGGCTCTCTCTCTTTGCGTTTCTCAGATGCCTCAGCCTCAGTGACGTTATCTCTGTACTACAATATCTGGTAAGTAATTCTCCCTTCCTCCTACATACACACATCCCACTTCTTCACCTCATCTTTCTTGTATGCACAAACACGCTATGCATATGGTCTATACTCGGCACAACCATCCACAGTGTATGGAACCATATGGAGACCTTGCATGGATTCATTCATCCTATTTTTGAGACTACGCCCGCCCATTCAACTTTCACTTGAGTCTCCTAACAAAGCTGACTCGCCCCTCTTTTCCGACGGTACTGCAGATGCATGCAGTTGGATTTCCACTACGGAGTACAGTCCACAACAGACAGACTGGGACGTTTCGACAGCGATCCGACGACAGAGTCCACCCAACTCCAGCCCGACCTGCTAGCCCGACCTGAGAACCCGACCTGACCCAGCCCATTTGACGGGGGTCTTCCACCACAAACACGACCAGAGGAACGGGAAGAGAACAGACTGAAGTGATCTGAGAAGAGACTGGAACCCCGCCATCTCTCATCAACCAAAAAGAATCCACCTCACATCCCATCTCAGCGGGTATCCCAACGACTTGCCCCTCCTCTTTCTCTCTTTCACTCTCCGTGCAAAGGGGAAAAAAAGCGAACAAATAGGGGACCGTCCACTTGGTAGCTCTATCGCCCAAAATCAGAAAACAAAGTGAGACACATCGACGCCCAAACAAGCGACAACCCGAAAAAGGGCGCCAAAGCACCTCCAAGTCAAAGCGACCGAGAGGGGAAAGAAAAAAAATTAGGAAAGTGAGAGAAGACGAGACCAAATTTCCTTAGGGCGGAATTCCTCACGTGGTTGCGACGTGCGTCCTGCCGCTACGGCCGTCCCGCTTCATATCCATCTGTTCAAGGTGGTCAGCGCCCAACCCAATTCCCGACTGCCCCTCCTCACCTCATCTTCCTCCCTCGACGTGCACCCTCGAGGCGCTGAGCATTCTGCCTCATTCAACTCATCCGGAAGAGAAAGCACCTCGGCGGCCACAAGCGATAGCTACAAGTAGCACGATTTGTCGACGACTCGACTAGTGGACGTTGCCATGGATCACCGCTACTCCTCATCGCGGTACACTACCGCTCGGCCGCGGTCGCCGACTTTCAATCCTGCCAGGGCTTCGCTTCCCACCAGTATTGGCTACAGTTCCATGTACGGGGGTGATATCCATGTCATGCCCACGTCTTCGACGAGATATGCCTCTGGCAGTTCTCGAAGCCATCATTCTGGCACGCCCACAACCACGACCACTACCTATGCAGTCACCAAAGACCCCCTCGCCCGCGGCCCAGGCCTGAGAGAAGCGAGCCGCAATCGCTCTCATCGCTCATCGACCCTCGACTCTACCTCTGCCCGCCCAGTCATTGTTACCACGACGACCCGACCGCCGCAGGCCAGTTCATCGTCGCACCACTCGTCGAGCAACAGACATAGCAGCCCGACTCGCGATGAGTATCGCTCCAGCGACTCGACATTTTACACGCAGCCTGCGTCATCCATACGTTCCCGAAGCCATCACCGCGGTGGCTCTTACAGCGCAACCATGGACAACGAAGAATTCACCCGCATGCGCGAGCGAACCCTCGATCCTACATCGTCTAGGCACGATTCGTACCGCCCTTCGAGGTCTTCGGCCATTTATACCAATATGTCCCGCCATGGAAATGCCCCAGTCGACATTGGCGGCACGGATGGCTACGAATACACTACTCCAAGCGACTTGGCAAGATACGATTTGGATCACACCCGGCCACCTTCACGATCACGCAGGCGAGAGAGCATCGACCGTGGCTATTACCGACCGAGTGTTAATGTTACGACAACTGAAAGCACTAGTCGTGCATATGATGTTGGTCGACAGCGAGCAGGCCCTCCGCCCACCACCTGGGGCTTGGATAAGATTAATCGCTCTTCCACGAACGTATACGACCCAGCCCAAGGCTCAATTCCTCCGGCAGCCCCTGCGGCGCCTATCCATCTACCAGTGCCCCCAAGCCCGACCAGCCGACGCTCCACTGGTGGTATCCCTTCCTCCATGGATGTCGCCGCAGCAACTTCCGTAGCGGCAGCGACTGTCGCGGGAGCGGCTGCCTCTCGGCGGCCTGTATCCGTGTATAATGAGGGGCCCCCTCGATCCAGCCATCACGAGGATTACTACCGAAGTCGCGATGATGATCGGGCTCAGCGGCAGGCCCGGGAGCCTGATCGCAAGTATGATCCCATTTACGGCAGTGGTGATTACTACGATAATGGAGTCACCAGCCGTGGTTTCGGTATCCGTACGGACTCAGCTCCCGTTGGCGGCGATTTCGAGGACCGACGTAGAGAGGCACGACCCGAGTCTCGAAATGGTTATCGCCCAGACTCGCGCACTGGATATAGACCAGAGTCGCGCGGCGGCCCCCGACCAGAGTCTCGAAGTGGTCATCGAACATCTCCTCCGGATGTCAAGAGAGGATCCGACGATGAATCTAAGCGCCGGGACGAAAAGGATCGCTCCAAGCGTGATTCAGCCCGCCTCGAGACGGACAAGGATCGCCATCTGCGGCGGACTAGCACAGCTAACGAGGACGAAGCCGAGAAGAAGCGCCTGCGTGATAAGTTGAGTGCGGGACTTGGTCTTGCCGCCACCGCGATTGGCCTCGGCTCAGCCGTGAAGGAGAAGGAAAAGGAGAAGGAGAAAGAGAAGGACGAGCGCCCCGAAAAGTCGGAGCGGGAGTCCCGGGAGCCCCGGCGCCGAAGCGATGAAGAGGATTCCGGAGCGCGTGCTGCCGAGAGATACAAGCCTCGGGAGGAGTCTCGGGACCCTCGTGATCGTGCACCCGTCATTGTTGAAACTCGCAGGGCCGCCGCCGAGCAAGAGGCAGATGTCCGTGATCGCGAAAAGGAGCGTGAAAAGGAGCGCGATCGAGAGCGTGACCGAGAGCGTGACCGAGAGCGTGATCGCGACCGCAATCGCCGGGATGCTGAAGCCAAGCTCACGGGCGATTCTACAGCTGCACAACGAGATGTGTCCCCGGAAGATGACGAGCAAAAGTCGAGGCGTCCTAAGCGGCAGATTGGCTTCAATCCTACCAACACCAACGACATTCGGGAATTGAAGGAGCAACTGGCAGCCATGAAGGATGACAAGCCAGAAAGGGTTCCGGTTCCTGTCGACAGGTCAGACCGCGTTGACCGGTTGGAGCGCTCAGAACGTCCAGAGCGGTCTGAGAGATACGAACGATCCGACCGATTGGACAGGCCTGAACGACCTGAAAGAGATGATAGATCAGACAAGCAAACATACGCTGATCTTCCGTTCCGCGAGCCACACAAGGAGCCGAAGGAACGCACACCTTCACCCAAGAAGGAGTCACCGCCACCAAAGAGGGAATCGCCCGTCTCACTCCCTTCGGCCGACTCGATCGTTACTTCATCTAGAGATGAACATCGCGACCGTGACCGCGACCGCGATCTCACACCACCTCGTGACGAGAAGCAGGTCCGCGTCGTGTCTCCGCCTCGCGACAAGTCAGACGCAAAGCCTCTCAAGGGTATCTTGAAGGCACCCAAGAAGTATCCCGAAGAGGACAACCCAATTCGTGAGGGTGTGGCACCTCACAAGGATGACAAGAAACTGAGGGAAGTTCCTCCTGGTGCCCGATGGACCAAGATCAGCCGGAAGATCGTAAATCCTGAGGCCTTGACCGTTGGCAAGGAGCGGTTCGAAGTCAGAGACGACTTCGTCATTGTCCTTCGCGTTCTCAGCAAGGAGGAGATCCAGGCCTATGCCGCCGCAACACAGGTCTTGAGAGGTATGTTGGGAAACTAGAAGCACTTGCTCTGGCATGGACTAACAAGTGGAATAGAACGGAGACGTGAAGAGACTGGTAAGGACCGGGACCGCGGCGATCGCGACCGGGACCAGGACCGTGGACGTGACCGCGATGGCGAAGATGATGACAAGCGGAAGCACCGTCATCACAGGAGGGAAGACGGCGATGATGACCGGTACGACGAGGAGCGCGACAGAGAGCGCCACCGCAGACACCGTCGAGACGAAGACGAGTATGAAGACGACTCGAGGCGACGTGATGACCATCACCACCGCCACCGAGAGCGTGACCGCGAGACTCTTGCCATTGAGGGCTGATGAGTACGGCGGGGGCAGATGTAAGAGGAAGCATGTAGCAGGAGATGATGATACTTGTATGCGCGGAGCTTTGGTTATCTAACGGCAGCATTGGACGAGGAGCCCTTGAAAGCGAGAAGCGAATCTCTACATTGAATTTATACATCTTTTATCATTTTCACAGATTTGGGAAAGCGAGAGATATTTATGACTTTTACGTGTGGAGTGATTGGGCCCAGCGGCTATCATGTCAATTTCAGAAAAAAGAAAGCACTATTGGATTTGCATATGATATATCCCATCCACTTTGTGCGTGCTTGGCCATGAACGATTGACGCCTCTGGGAAGGGGATCGGGTCCTGAAGGAGTGAGACCAGAGGTTCTGGGGGGTAAAGGACCCAGAAATAATGGTCCCGTGAGGTGGTTTGCGCGAACTGGTCTTAGAGTTGGCGCGAACACCATTACGCACGGAGGTTAGCCTCGAGGGTGAGGGGTTTCGTGCTCGGTCTCGTCCGGAGATGTGTGGCCGGCCGGCTGGCTAGTTGGGGCGACTTTGGGGAGGAGGCGTTGCGGGATGAGCTTGAGAGACGTCACTTTGGGTTTAACGATTTGTTATGCTTCTTATATCTGCTTATTTCTCATGTCTGTTTTGAGCTGATTGAAAGGCTAGAGTATTCTCTCATTGTTTTCATTAAGTGAGGTCGCGTGAGGTTGGGAAAGCAGTTGAGGGAGCCTCAGCTGGTAGGGTTGGAGAAGGGGTTCGAGGGCTCATCTAATCCGTGTCGGACGGGGGCGTCTCCTGTCAATGTGCCTTGCCTCACTATGACTGACCAGCTCTAGCCATAACATTCTCAAAGTATCGTTTCAGAGATACGATCGTCTAGCTGGTTCCAGTTCGGGGGCTGCTTTGATCTTGCCTTGAGTTGCGGCGCCTGACACTCATTTACTTCAATAAGGCGGTAATTAAGGAAAGCAGGGTTTAGAAGTCGTGTAAAAGGTAGCGAAACAGACGCATCGCATATGTTTCTTGTTGATTCATTTCACCGGAGCTATTGTCTATGGGAAGATCGACAAGGTGCAAGATGAAGATAGCGCCAGATGAAGAGGTTTAAGGTAAAGTGTCCCTGTCCGGGAAGCCCGCTGCCCTCCGGCCGGGTGTGGGTCTACGAATATACGGGTGCGGACGCGGGACCTCCGAGAGGCGCGGGATACACTTTGCAGAGGAGTTCGCCGATCCGTTATCCGCATTGCCCGACTTAACTTCTTCTATAGCACAGGCGAATCCTGCCTAGAGAATTTTGACTAGGTACGGGATGGGTTGGAGCTTGTTAGTTTGTGGCTCGTGGCCTTGCTTTGAGTCAATCGGCGTATCTGTTTGGTCTTTTGTTACTGTTTGGGCTGTTGACGTGGCGTTTCTCTGATACCAAGTTATTTTTCATCAACAAGTTGCATCGTAATGGATCTTCTCTTTCTAATTAACCCACTCTTTCAAGACTCGATAGTCACCAGGAAATTTGCGGTGCCATTTCAGCTCAAAAACTCCAGGTTTCTGGCCTTGAGATCGGACACGGCGAGATAATCGTGCCTTTATATTAGACTGGCTGAGGAATTAGAAGGGGATTGAGCGTGCCGGCCGGTTGCTTTTAGACGCATGTCGTCGTGACTACTACTATTGGCGATAGTGCTCATGAGAAGCCCTCTGGCAATTATCCCACTCTGACTTTTCAGAGGTGACGTGAGAGGACCTTTTTGCAGATGAAGCTCCGATCCGCATCGATGACTTCATCGCTGAGAAGCGGCTTTCCGACGATGTATGATCTCAACAGAACTTGGGCACGTTTCCTTGAGAAACTCATCCACTTATCAAAGATCACTCCATCTTCCAGTACGCAAGGCCCAGAAAGTCGTCGGAATACTTGCAACTGATGAGCGGGAAGTAAAAGTTGGAGTCATGGAAGGGTGATGTTGAAGTAAAGCCATGCAGAAATCGTCATGCAACTCGACAGCGAAAATACGAGATAATGCATCCCTGCGCGGTTCGCTACCTTGGAACGGAAAGTGCAGAGAGGGACTTGGAAGCCGGCAATCTTGTACCTTCCTAATGCATGTCTGCCAAGAATTAGCGACATGGTGCGATTACACCACATCCGCTTTTCTACCCGTAATAAAGGTTTCGCGAACCCTCAACCTTTGAAGACTGATAGACTTGATTCAACATCGTAGACAGCTTTCTGCTTCGGACTACAAACCAAAGGGCAAAGATGAGAATCTCTCACCTGGCAGGTCTCCTGTCCATCGTGTCCGGCACCCTAGCCGCGACCTTCAAGTCCTGCACCGCCGCGCAAATCGTCACCCTCGAAGCGGCCATCGAGCGAGCTACCAACAAGTCGTTTGCGGCGATTGAGCACCTGGAGGATAACCCCAATGGTAGCGATGTCCAGACAACGTGGTACGGAAAGTTCAGCACCGACCGCTATAATCGCGTGTTGACGGCTTTCAAGGTACGTCTGGCGGGGCTTTTCAGTCTCATGGTACCTAGAGGGAGAGAGACGATGGATATATGAGTTAACAATGTTTAAAACAGAAATTCGCGCCTGATTTGGCCACTACGTTCTCATACGATTGCTCGTGTACCAGCACCGCTGTATACGCGACTATTGGCGGCACGTACGGCGACGTCAAGATTTGTAGTGTGTATTTCAACGAGGCGATGCTTCCGCCTGCTGGGCGGCATCGCAATCAGTGGGAGTGAGTTCATGTCTCGACCTTGAGGGCACCTGTGTCTTCTCATGATCGTGAGTCAAAGGATTGTGTCTGACTGAGATTTTTATAGTACTATCATCCATGAGGCGACGCACTTTCGAGATGTGTTAGGGACAACTGACTATGGGTATGATGTCGACTACTGCAAGCAGTTTGCCCTTGAAGATCCCGAGAAGGCGGTTAAGAACGCAGAGTAAGTTACAAGACAGCCCTTACTATAAGCAGAAGAAATTAACATCTTCCAGTAATCATGCCCGCTTTGCTGTTGAGGTGCCGCCTTGGGGTCCCTAGTTGCATATGTCCGAGTCACCACCAGGCCTATCTATGTTCACTCTCACACGCGCGCAACATATAACCCTCCCGCTCGTCTCGATACCCTCTATAGCCAATAAACTTGTTTGATGCTATCACCGGCTCATGTTAAGTGTAGTGGGGAATGCCGGGTCGCCACCGAATTGCTGCGCGGAGTCTCGTGGAGAGTCCTCGCATCGCTATTCAAGAGTGTCATACATGCGTAGGAATTTCATAGGTCCTCGGAAGGTCGTCTGGGCTTTCATTTCTGTCTTTCTTTCTCTTCGCTTAGAGGGTAGAGGAGCAGCCGCGTGATTGGAATTGTTCTCTCATGGCTAGAGCTGAGGAATTCGACATAGGTGGTTGACAAACAACGTCTTCTACAGTCGCTTGAAATGCTGTTCTACACTACATCACCTTACGCTAGATGGTAGAAGATTCCAAACACTTCTGGAATCCAAGCTTGTCATCGCTGGTCGACTGCCTGGCATGGTTGGTGTGGTCCACGCATATGAGGAAGCCACGATCCGACCGTCAGCCGTGATAAAGGGGAAGACAGGTTCTTGAATGATCTAGTAGCTAACGAGGGTTCCCTGTTCGTGTACTTTGAGCTAGTCAATCAAACTGTTCGAAATGTAAGGGAACCTATTGATAAGCTAAGATTGATGCCGCAACCGCTGTTCCTAACGTTCTGACATCGTTGTTGGCCCGGATGTTCACTATATAATAGATACCTCGAGAACACCGGTATTCAGTGCCTTTGGCTTGATGACCTTGTACTGGGTCTCGATGATAATAGGCAAAGAAGGAGGCCGTTTTGCAGTATTCGTCTTCTCGCCTACCCCTGTGGCCGTGGTCTTGTTCCCCTTTCCCCTCCTCTTTCTCAATGATTTCGAGTGTGAGCTTACTCATATCGAGGCCACGTAGGGGCTAGATGTGTGGTGTGAACTAAGCTTGTATTCTCCATCTGTCTGTCTAGCTATGTGTTTTGTGCCTTGCCTGTGGCTGCGGATGTGGCTAGCCGCAGCTCACATCAGTAAGATGCCGCTCAGATGGGGGGGGGGGGGGTCAAGATGTGTATGTAGGAGGTTGGATTGCTAGCTAGGATTGTTGTGGCACGAGGCCCATATGTACATCCCATCCGAGCCCCCTCGGAGCTTCCAAATTGGTCCAGTGGGTCTCACCCACCCACAACATCGAGGATCGCAATGGAAGTCATCCCCAGGCATCACTCTGTATATATTCAGTGTAGACTACATGAAAGATGACCACTTCTGACCGAGATTTGCGTCCCGATTTCTCTTTATTGCTCTCAACGTGCGTCAAACAGAAGCTTTCTGGCCACTGAATTCGTTGTAAACAACGAAACGAAAAGCACTGTCGAATCTGCAAAATACCTCGAGAAGTCACACTGATGACAGAAACTGCTAACGTTGTGGCTCACTACAAATACCAGCGTTTTGGAACGGAGCATTCGCGGCATTAGTCGCGCAATCGTATGCCTTGAGAAGTAAAGAGATTCGTTTCATATAGGTAGTGGAAGGATATTTTCCGTCGCAAGGTCCATGTTCATTCACAAGTACCACGCCTCAGATTAGACCTTCAAGCAGGGTTCTCACCCTTCCGGATCAAATATATGTCCAGCCTCGTGGTCAGTACCGTTTCCCGAGTTATACCGAGTTGCCTGTCGCATGATCCGGCCTCATAGAAGCTATCAACGGGGGAATCTCATAGCAAGATGATGCAACTCCACAAGGAAGCCGCTCTACTGGCCTCTTCCAACCTTGCGCCTCCTTGTCGACCTTTGTGTCCCTCAGCAACATATCAGAATCTTCCAAGGTCCATTTTGGTCAGTACAGTATCGCCAAAAGGTCATTCCTGCAGAATGATGTGAGCTCTCGTTAGCCTCGAAGAGAGCCCTTGTTCTTTCCTCGGTTTTAAGCCCTACCTCCTGGTACTCTAATTCCAGTTAAGCCACACGAAGGATTTCGGAAATCTTTCTTTAGGATCGCTAGAGACCCGTAGTGCGTACCCTTACTGTTGATAAAACCATAGCGGTTGATGCCGGAGCGGCTCATGTGTAAATTCAATAGCGGGCAAAAACGGGAGGTTGAAGGGAACAGAAAGCGGTGCAAAAACTTCCACAGCCTGGAATCGAAGACATAAAGTTTCGCCTTGAAGATACGAAGTCACTAGTGCATCAATCAAGCCACGAAGTTCGTTGAGGTTGATGATCTGACGAATTGTGTCTGCCACAAAACTCAAATGATCGTGGTCACAATGGTGTCAACCGGTCTCCATCATCGACAGCCTCTTACCTTGAAAGCCACGAACCGTCTGGCTGTATGGAAGCGAAGAAAGATATATGTCCCGCAGATCCCTGTCCCGTCGAAATGCCTCTGACAGCCTTTCTCTACCATAGTCATGTTCCGCTCGGGATGCCTTGATCTGTCCTATGATGTAACATTCATATATGGTCCTTCAAAACTGAAGCTTTGCTTGTGGATAGGTAGCAAATGGAATTTTAGAGCCTTGACGGCCTTGCTCCGCTAAGCACCGCCCTGGAAACTCCTTTGAAAAGGCTGAATCTGGGAAAGCAACCTTGTGGACTTCTCAACGAATTTTCTATTCCAAAGCTTGAACCTGCTTCTTCCCACCAATGTATATAAACTCATCTTTTGCCAGACTTTTCCCTCTTCCCTTGCTTCTTCTGTCAACTTCTCACATCTGTGATTTCATCAATCTTGTAGACCATATTTTACAACAAACTCTCAAGATGAAAAGCATCACCTTCCTGGCCGGCATCCTGCTGGTCTCCGTCGGCCCCTCCCTCATCAACGCTGATACCATTCGGGGTCCGCGTCCGACAACCACAGCCGTGGCCGAGGACTCCTCCCTCTCGAATCTCCCCCCTATGTTAATCCTCGAGATCATCAACATGGAGAAGAAGAGGAAAGGAAAGGGGAACAAGACCACGACCGCAGTAGTAAGCGAGAAGACTAACCCGGCGAAACGCCCCCCTTCTCTACCAATCATCATCGAGACACACCACGAGATCATCAAGCCAAAGGCACCCAAGACCGCTGCTCTCAAGAGAGATGCTCCTCAGCCTACTGCCCCCCTTCAGGCGCGCGAGCAGCGAAGCGGTGAGGCGGATGAGAATGCCGAGTCCTCCTCCCTCTGCACGCATAACAAGTGCCCCAAGGAGATGGAGGTCACCCGCACCCTCGAGCCCAGACAGCAACAGGAGACGGACGACGCCGAGCCCTCCGCTGACGAGGATGACGCCGACTCCTACAGAGACTGTCCCAAGAGGCGCTCGCGCAAGGCCAAAATCGCGAGTATGGAGGCAACCAAGACCCTCGAGCCCAGACAGCTGGTCGTAGAGACTGCCGCCGCCGAGCCCTCTACCGGCGAAGACGTCGATTCCTACCTCTGTACACACGAAGACTGCCCTCATAAGTTTGCGCGTCTGGTGAAGCCACGGGCCGCGAAGACCCTCGAGCCCAGGCAGCCGGCTGTGGAGACTGACTCTGCCGAGCCCTCCGCGGACAAGTACGCCGATTCTTCCCTCTGCACGCACGGAGAATGTCCTCATGAGCTTGGACGCCTGGTCAAGCCGTGGGCCAGCAAGACTCTTGAGCCCAGGCAGCTGTACGTGCCGACTAGCACTGCCGAGCCTTCTGCGGACGAAGAGGAGGAGACGGAGGAGAAGGATGATGAGTACTACGCCATGCCGCCCCCTCGCACCCGTCGCTTGAGGTGCAAGGGCAGACACAGCAGAACCGCTTCCAGCACGGCGACTCCTACTTCTTCCACCACTTCATCGACCACCTCGTCTGCCACCTCGTCCAGCACCGGCACCGTTACTGTCACCGTGACGCCGACTGCCACCACCAGCTCGAGCTCCTCTTCTTCCACCAGCACTTCTTCCTCATCCTCCTCATCCTCCTCCACTTCCACCAACGCACCCGATGGCGCTGTTACGCGCACCACCACGATCACCGTGACCGCGGACCCGACCTACGCCCCGACTTACATCCTGAAGCCGTACCCGACGACCTTCCGCAAGGTCAGAGCTTAAGCGCGGTTCTGTTGGAGTGCCAAATATGGGTGTTCGTTTGTTTGTTCCTCAGGTGTAATGAAGCCTAGGTTAATGAGGAAACTTATGGTGTACCCGGAGGTTTGTTTACCAGCTTTCCAGCTGGCGCAGTCTATTCGGCCTTAAGTACGCTTAGTGAGTTAGGTCATAGTGAATTCAAGTATCGTTCAGTAAGCTCGGGTGTTGTCCATACCGTGAGCATTTGGTGTGATCATGTATTATCTATTTTGATTGAAGATGACCGTCTTTGCTTCCACATCATCAACCCCACGACCTTACGACCAAAGCTTCCGAATCAAATACTCAACCGCCTCAGCGCGGTACGTATCCGGCTGAACATGAACCAAGTCGGTAACGTTGACATCGAACCCCATAATCTCAGGGTTCTCAACATCATACCGCGGCCACTTCACGCCCGTCGCCCCAGCATTCGCATTCGGATCCCCCTTGGCGATAAACCCAACCCACATCCGCGACATAATCTCCGCCAGCGCCTTGAACGTCTCGGGCTTCCCCTCGAACGGATTCACCGCCACCGCCGTCTCGTACCCCAACCCGTCCGTGTTGTTAAACACAAACGCAACCTCCTGGAAGTGGTTCACCCCCTCCGCGGGCGTCATACCGTTGACGAGCACGTTGAAGTTATACGAGTACACGCTCTGGTTCCCCCTCGGTCCAGCCCAGTTGCGCGCAAAGAACCGCCGGGGACCATGCTGCGCGCGATCGCCCGCAAACGCATTCACGCGCTTCCACATGGCGCCGAAATTCGCCTGCGCACCGCTCGGTCGGCCCTGCAGCGTCGCCGGCGTGCCGAGGCGCGGGATATCCGGGTACAGCGCCGAGAGCACCTCGATCGTGAGATTACCCGCCCCGCCGGAGCGGAGGTAGGCCTGCCATTGCGCCGTGGTGTTGACGCCCTTGACGCCAAACTGCGTGCCCTCGTCCGAGTTGGCGCCGATCAGCAGCGGCACGCGCGTGAACTTGCCCTCGTTGACGAGCTCGTGACGCGGCGCCTCGAGGAACTCGCCGTCGACGACGCCCGTGAAGGCCGGGTTCGTGGTCGTGGTGTTGAGCACGTCGCTCAAGGTCCAGGCCGGGACGCCACGAAGGCAGGAGAGCGTATCGGACGCTGCGGAGCAGTTTGTCTTATTGACGATGGCGTCGTAGTAATCCTGCCACGTGGCCGCAGACGAAGACGCCTCCAACTCGCCAAAGTCGGTCCCGAGACCGGTGCCGCTCTGCAGGATCGCGGCGCGATAGAGCCCTTCGTCCCGCCCCCCGTAGGCCAGCATCTGCGACGCCACGCTGCGGGAGCCGGCGCTCTCGCTCCACAAGGTAACGTGCGTCGGGTCGCCCCCGAACGCGGCAATATTCTCACGGACCCAGTGCAACGCCAGGCGCTGGTCGCGGAAGCCGAGGTTGCCCGCGCCCTCGGCCTTGATCTCGTCGCTCCACAAAAAGCCCCAGGCGTGGAGGCGGTAGTTGATGCTAGCGGCGACAAAGGGGGAGCCCATGCGGACTCCCTGCTCGACGATGAAGGAGAGGTTGTAGCGCGGGTCGGCGCTGCCGCCGTTGGTGAGGCCGCCTCCGTGGATCCAGACCGCGACAGGGAGCTTTGCGTCCGCGGCGACGCCGTGAGGCCGGACGACGTTGATGGTTAGACAGTCTTCTGATACGTGGTTGCCGAGGACCCAGGTGTCGCTTCCGTAGCCGAAGCAGAGCGGGGAGTACTCCGTCGCGTTGCGCGTGCCGTCCCAGGAGGAGTTCAGGGGTTGCGGGACGCGGAAGCGGAGGTTGTCGACGGGGGGTTGGGCGTACGGCATGCCGAGGAAGAGGTCCTGGTCATGGGGCTCGTTGTAGACGCCATAGTAGGAGCCGTTCTTGAGGTCGACGGTGGGGACGGTGCCGGTGGTGGTGTTTGCCGGGACGGCCTGTCTCGGTACCAGGGCGGACACCGTGGCGCAGGCCGTGGAGAGGGTGGCGAGCAGGTTGAGTCGGGTCATGTTGTCGTCGTCCGGGAGCTAAGCTGTGGTGACCGACGATGTCTTGACGAGCATACGCTGCAGCTGTCGTCCCGTCAGGTCACCAAGGAGCAGGGCAGCTCTCGGCCTTTATGTACTTGAGCCATGGACTGCGGGACCGGGAGAAGGTCGGACATTGGACCTCTGCTTTGTTCTCCATGCTGCGAGATGAAGTCCACCATGGCTCGACCCCTCGAGGACGATGATCCCGGCGTCATGCCACGAGACCAGTGCCGGCCGGGGGTGGCAGGGGATGGCCTCCAGGCTAGTGTAGTGGACTACGTCACTTTGTCAAGAGAAAGACGAAGTCCGAAGCGGTCGTTTACCGTGGTATTGAAGCTGTGAATGCCAAGGCCCGTGGTCGGTAAGGTCAAGAAGAAAAAAATCAGTAGCTTATTTGTCGTTGATGGGTACAGAGTAACATGGCATGACAGGTCCGATCCAATGGGCTGGGTTGGCCTACCCCGCAGACGCAAACGCTCCGCAAGAATCGGCCCTACCCTGGCACTTGGGGAGCATTGTGGAGGGATTTGGGGTTGGGTGGTGTGGGGGAGAATTAGAGAAGTTTTGACAAGACTCGTGAGGAATGGTTCAGGATGTTGGGTGCGGTCAACTCCCGAGGGGACCATGGATACCAGACGAACGGGTTGCGATGCCGGGACGGTGTTTGGCTTTGTTTAACATTCGAGTTCCGAGTCGCCCATTTCCACATGCCGAACATTCAGAAGTCGCGTTGTGATGCTGTGTAATTCTACATTGAGGGAACACTCTGCTGGTGGCTCGATTCACTAGGCTAAAGTCCAGCAAAATCGATTCTGATGAATAGTCTTGTCAGTGCTGGCTTGGCTCCTCGAGTCAAGTCTATCAAGACTTTGAGCCGAAGAAGTACTCGACTAAGCTATCTACCTAGGGTATGCATAGCCTAGGTGCCAGGCTGGAGCCACAGCATTTCTCCGCGTTTCTCCGCCTCCTCGTCGTGGAGAATCCGGCAGTCAAATTTGGCCCCCGACGTCCCGACAGATTGGCTCTAGTTGGCGACCAAAAGGGACAGTTGCTGACTTGGGGTTAATGGGCAACTTCTATTTCAACAACTGTTCTTAGTAAATTGATCATTGGGTATTAGTCTTACTCTTCTAGAATGTAGACTAAGGAAAATAGAAATTCGTAATGGAAGAAACCAAACTTGGTCGGCTCGTCGGGTCGGCTAACACCAAACCCCGTACTGTGTCATTCACCGTTGATTTGATCTAATTACACCGTTCCGATACACACCGAGAAAAGCGGGACCCAGGCACTCACCGAACCAAAAAACCAACGACGTCATGCCGTCCGCTCCGAGACCACGGCCCCGAAAACTCGGCACCAGTGCTGACGACAAGGGGGTCCGAATCTCGAATCCTTCCGGCCACCATTCAACGTCCTCCCACTCCGACCCAGTCACAACGGAAAATCCTAATCTTCAACGTCCGGTAGACCCTTGAATTCCCAGGCCTCAGACCGATCTCGACTGTATTACAAATCTCAAATCCCGAACCTCTGTAAATCTCTCATTCCTCACCTCTGAACCCCTCACTCACAACAATCACAGAACAAAACATCGCACTCTCACCTCATTCATCACCCACAATCCAATCATCCACACCCACCTCCCCAAGAGGAAACCCTCTCCAAAAAAAAAAAATAATGCCTCCAAAAACCCCCAAGCCAAACGGCACCTTCACCTACTGCGTCGGCTCCAACCCGCCCTTCACCCCCGAAGAATACGCAAGCGACCCGACCCGCCGCCAGCGCGCCCTCGACCACCTGGCCAAGAACGACCTCTACGCCGCCGCCGTCGTCACCTTCAACCTCCCCGAGCGCGACACCTACGTCTACCACGCCATGACGGCCGTCCGCCTCGCCGAGGTCCAGCGCGTCGTCAGCATGGGCGGCGTCAACGGGTTGCATGCGTGGTATCGCGACGAGGAGGGGAAGCCGGTATGTTTGAGCGGTCTCTGTTGTCGATTGTCTTTTATGCTCTGCATATTTCCTTACTTTCCCTACTTCAAGATATCAGAATCCTCTTATATCAGCTCGGTCTTCTCGTATACACACTCCCATCCCCCCCCCCCCCCTTTCCGTACCAGGCGACGCCCCACCTCGCCCTCCTCTCCGCCACCCCCATGCCTCTCATCCCGCCCCCCGCCACCCCCCCCCCCCCCCCCCCCCTTATCCCGCTTCCCACAGGTCTCTCCCCTATCCCCCAACCTCCTTATGCCACCCATCATGTAGTGCTCGGCCATCACTCCTTCTTACATTCATCTTAACCCTCACCCCCCAATTTTCCCTCTCAACCCCCCCCCCCCCCTTCTCCTTATCACCAGTCTCCATGAGCCTCCACCACCAGCCCCCCCTCTCCCTCATCATCAGCCATCACCAACCCTCTCCTCCCACCCCATATAGAACATCAGAAGACTAACATCACCAGCTCGACCCCCCACCCCAAGCAGACATCCAATCCTACATCCAAATCTTCTCCCCAAAAACCTCAACCCCACAAGCCCTCAAATCCCACCTCGCAAACGCCAAAAAGTCCTCCCTCCGCTTCCTCTCCGCCTCCCACCTCCTCGCGCACCGCTACATCCACCCGTCCCTCCCGCACCTCGCCGCCATCCCCAAGTGCAAAAACCCAACCGCGTCCCTCCCCCCAAACCCCTCCCTCGACTTCTGGTCCTGGTCCGCCCTCTCCCTCCAATACCTCGGCCCCCTCCCCAACCTCCCCCTCCGATCCCACCACGTCCTCCCGATCCTAATGCACCACTTCGGCTGCGCCACGCCCTCCCACGAAGCCCTCTCCGTCCTCCGCCTCCTCGCCGGCCCCCGGCCCATAGCGGACATCGGCTCCGGCAACGGCTACTGGACGCACATGCTCCGCCTCTACAACCTCACAGTCTACCCCGTCGACAACCTCCAATCGGAGTGGCGCACGAACTGGGTCGCCGACACCATCCCCTCCGACGGCGTCTCGTTCCTCAAGTCCCGCGCGGGGGGGAGGGACATGGTGATGCTGCTGGTCTACCCCGTCGTGGGCGGCTCCGTGGCGGGCGGCGCGGAGGGGGGTTTCACGCGCGGGCTGGTGGAGGCCTACGAGGGCGACACCATCGCCGTCGTGGGCACGCAGAACGGGAACGGGTATACCGGCTTCCGGGGGATGACGATGGCGGAGTACATGGCGAAAGAACAGCCCGAGTGGGTGAGGGTCGTGCAGATTCCGCTGCCGAGTTTCGCGGGGAAAGACGAGGCGTTGTTTGTTTTCCAGAGGGGGGAGAGGGCGCCGCCTAGGGACGAGGCATTGAAAAAGGAGGACGAGGGGGTTAAGGATGCGTAGGTGTAGGGTAATGAGAGAGTACCCGATAGTCACTTTGACATCTCATACCAACATCATTCACAGTAGACAGTAGAGAGACGGTAAACCGAAAGAAGTGATTCTTAACTACCAAAATTCTATAATTGCCTTTCATTCCCATTGCCCTCCGAGATAAAAACAGTCCAAATGAAAACACACCATCCACGAAGAAAATTCCTCATCATCCGACTTTGTGCCATCCGCACTTCCCAAAAATGCCCGCCGGGAAACAAGCATATCCTTACCAGCAAGTACGCTCTCCGACGCCTCTCAGCATCGGGAAAAGAACAAACAAGACGAGGAAAAAATCGAACCGTGGAAAAGGAAGAAAGCGGTAAGCGAAACCCCCCTCTACCTTGGAAAGAGAAAAAAAAAATGTACCGAGAAGTAGGAGAGAGGCAGTCGAAAAAGCGTCGCAGACTCCATTCCACTCCATCCGCCTTTCATACTCAGAAATGATCAACAGACTGACAAAAATCAACGGACTGATGCCTCATGAGAAGGAAAAAAAAAAAGAGTAGAAAGCCTCCTCATGTCTTGTCGTAGGGGTCCAAGGCGTCGTAGCAAAGCCCGTATACTCTTCGCTGTGTCAAGGAACGGAAATTTTTTGCGTGACAAGATGCTTCTTTTTCTGACCAAAACAGCGTCCTCCCACCCCTTCAGGAAAAGTAAAAGAAAATCGGTCATCCATCGTAGAAAAGAAGAAAAGTTTTGTTTTTTGTCATCGTCAAGTCGTCAACCTAGGAAATCCATCTACCCTCTTTTGCAAGTAGGGTGTTACTTTTTACGTCATTTCCTGGTCCTAGCCTCTCTTTTATAAACTTGTCGTAGTGTCGGGCACGTTATGATACAAAATGGGCACCCTTTTTTTGTTGCGTGTAGCTGTGTGCGGTGTGCGATGTGTGTGTGGTCGTGAGACGTCGGTATTAACAATGCGCGAAAACGAGGTTGAAAGGCACTGGAAACGTTTTGACGGGCGGGCATGGTGACTTTCGCTTTGATGATGCTGAATGTTGGGGTCCATGGCGAAAAAAAGAATGCAGTTATGTGCGTAGTGAGAAACCCACAATAGTAAACGTATAGTCGCGAGGTCGAGTAGATGAGTAAATGCTTTTTACGAGTCCAACATCGAAAGACGTTTACTCATCAGCCTCTCCCTTTCTCATTCTCTCGTTCCACTTCCGCTTGCCGACACGCGTCTCAAAGTGAGGAACGAGCGTCTTGACATCCTGCATGATGGATTCAATGGCAGTACGGGTCTTGTTGCGGTAGCAGTCCACTATAACTCATGTCAGCTCGATCTCTGTTTCGTACTCAACACGGAAAACTTACGAGCTCTCTGGAGGAAGACTGTCCGTCCCGCAAAGACTCTGCTCTGCAGCCAGGCCATGCGGTATCCGAGGTCGTTGAGTCGGACCTCCTTGCCTCGGACACTCTTCCTCATGCGGGGAATGGCGACCTCGCCTTCGGTGTTCTCGCCAATCGGAACCTTGACCATGGACTTGCTGTTTCCACGGCCTCGGCGGGAGCTACGGCCCTCAGTGTCTTCAACACCATCGTCCTCCTCATCGGCATCCTCCTGGAAGAACTTGGTGCCGGTGGCAGACGGCGGGGGGCTCTGCATCTCGCGTGGGAAGTACGACCGCGGGAAGACGGAAGCGCCCTTGCGGAAGGAGTCGGGAATTTCCTTGGTATCGACACCGTCGAGCGTGACTCTAACACGCAGACGCGAACCGCGGACATTGTCCTCGACGAGAATGAACTTACGCTTCTTGGCCTCGGGGATGTTAGGGAACAAATCCTCGGGCTCGCCGTTGTCGCTGCGGCTGTGGCGACGGGCAGAAATGGCGCCGGCGTGGGAGCTGCTGCCCATGTGCGGCATCGAGCCGGAGCTGGATGCCGGGTAGCCTCCGTGACCGCCGTAGCTTCCGGAAAAGACCTGCGACTGTCTGACGTCGCCGCCCTCCTGGCCAGCGGGGGCCTGGTGGTGGTGATGGTGTTCGTCCATGTATTCGCCATCGCCTATTTCAAGACAGCAAATGTCAGTCAACGTTACAATGAAGAAAGATTGGAAACTGGTTTCGGGAGGACGTATGCAGACGAGCGGAGTGTGGGAGGGGTAAACATGTTTGATCGACAACCCTGACAACACAAGCCAACGGCAACGCGAAACGCTCAAGACGACAAAGGGAGGATCGGGATGGGTTTGTTGCTTTTTTTCCCCCTGGAGGTACAAGAGTGGCATAAGAGTAGGTCTTTGGGACAGGCAGGACGATTTTCTCTTTTACGAGAACAAAAGCCCCCCTCTTTCATCCAAAGCCATGCTATTGGGACGCAGAAGGATTGGGGATGGAATGCCAAAAACGCTAAGCAATGCGACTTTTTGCCGATGACTCTTCTAAGAGGCATCGCATCTTGTTGCCCGACAAACTCGGGTCAGGTGACTAACGACAGCAACAGCAGCAACTGCGTGCAGCGCAACTATGGTAATGTACAGATCTGTGCCGTAGAGAAAAGGAAATCCCTCTCGACCCGCGGCGAGCTTTGCTGTATCGTGGTGGCAAGTTGCTTTGATGCGGCCGAAAAAGCCCGGCGCTATACAACAGGAGGAGCGCAAGGAAAATGACAAAAAAGTGCAACGAACCCATTCCCGAGACGTCTGACCAACTAGCAGAGTAATAATGTAATAAAGGCACAGAGGTAAAAAATTTGTATGTGTTTGGTGGTGATGAAGCTCGTGTCCGCTCTAGGATCACGGCCGACAAGACTTGGTGATGATGAAAAGGGGGGAAAGGTATCACATAATCAACGATCTTTGGGGGTTGTGCCGGGCAGTGGTGTGTATGTGCGATGCAACGACAATCAACAACAAACAACGACTGGGCTCGCAAACGCTGCAGATGCGGAGGGCTTCTTTAATCACATCTGGTGAAACATACCGACTTCATCCCCTCCACCCGGAGCGTTGGTGTGCGGCATATGACCCATGTTCATTCCAGGCATCTTGGCTGATGCACCCGCGGGGCCCATGCCACCAGCACCTTGAGCCATCCCTGGCGGACTGGGGCCGCCCATGTGAGCAGGGTGAGGGCCGCCCTGAACCGATTTCCGGGTGTTCATCTTGGCCATTCGGCGCACTCTTCGGCTTCGGAGCCGGGGGTCTTGGTTGCTGTTGCGCCAGCTGTCCACGGCGCGCTGGATAAGACCTCTCTTGCCGCGCAGAGGAGGGTTCAGCTGAGCAAGAGCCCATCCGACCGTGTTGCACTCGGTCTCGTATACTTGGCGGTTGCCTCGGTATTGGTCCTTGGGGCAACAGGCTCTGGGGTAAACGCAGTTCTCCGTCTTGAATTCGGCCGAGAGCTCGTCCGTGTTGACCGACTCAACATCGCAGCGGATGGTGTACTCCATCTTGACACGGTCGCGAGAGTACTCAAACGCGATCCATTGAACACCGTTCTGGTCTTGTCTTACAACCAAGGGCGTAGTGGCCGGAATGGGTCCAGGCGCCGCATTGGGGTTGACACCGCCAGGAGTCGATCCTGTGGGGGTGTTGAGAGCAGCGCCGTTCTGAGGGTGCTGCTGGTGTTGCATGGGAGTCGTCTGAGGCTTCTGGAGCTGCAGCGGCACCTGGGGCTCCGTCTTCATCTGGCCGCGGGGGCTGTTGGTCATCTGGGCCTGGTGTTGTTGCGCCTGGTGCTGGGGCATGTGTTGCTGCTGCTGCTGGGACTGCGCAGACATCATCATGTTGGGCTGCGAAGACATGGACTGGTGGGTCTGGGCCTGGTGTTGCGCGTAGGGAGACTGTTGGGGTTGCGCCTGCATCGACGGGTAGTGGGCTTGCGGCGTCTGGTAGTACATGTGCTGCTGGAGAGGTTGAGACGGCGGCTGGCCGTAGATGCTTCTGTGCTGGTCATGTTGGGAAGGCGAGGCTACCGACGCGGGCGAGTTCGACTGCGGTGTGTGGTAGGACATGGGAGGGTAAGGTGGTCTCGGCATTTGAGCGGCGGCCATCATGTCGGATTGGTCTGCTATTCAGTGGTCAACGGTTGTGAACTTTTGAAGCTGTCGAGAGAGAGTAAGTTGTCGCGCGAGAAGAGAAAAGGCAGCAAAAGACGCGTCTTTTTCTCAGTGTCTGGCGCGTCTTTTGGGCGCGTCTCTCTTGTGACAGGCGCAGACACATACACACACGCAGAGCAAGGTAAGGATAGCAAAGGAAAGAAGGAAAACTCACCAGCGGATGTGTATCCGCTTGTCGCGCCTGGGGTGCTGTAGGGACTCGGATGCGCGTAGTAGGGAAGGCCGTCCTGGGAGTGCTGCTGCTGGGCGTTGGAGGGCTGGCTCTGCTGCTGCTGGTAGGCGGGAGCAATTGGGTGTCCGGCGGAGGCGTAGGAGGGATGCTGCTGCGACTGGGCCTGGGGATGATGCTGTTGATGAACAACGCTCGAGGGTCGAGGATGTTGCTGGTGCTGCTGCAGATGTTGCTGCTGCTGCTGTGTAGGTGCGTGACCCTGGGGCTGATGGTGGGGGTGATGCTGCATAGAGAAAAGACCCATTAGTCCCTCGTCCAAGAAACGCTTCGACGTATTAAGTTGACTGGTGACAAGCAAGAAGGAGGAAAAAACAAAGTGAGGCAAGGCAAGGCGCGGCGCGTCTGTATTTTTATTTTTTGCACCTTGACACTGTCAGGGGACTGGGGGCATCCAGGTGCAGGCAGGTGCGTGTGGTGAGAAGTGGTTCCTTGCTGCCCCTGGGAGTCCTGGGAGTCGACGAGGGTCAGGCGGGTGAGGCGTGCTAGACCCAGTTCGGGACCCCTTTCTGATAAAAGAAAATGTGGATATTCTTTTGGGGAAAAGAAGAGGAGCAAGGCAAGGCAGGCAAGGTACGAATAGACAAGCAGCAGGATGGATGGATGGATGGGCTCCAGACCAGATGCAAGGTCGCCGTACTACGGCGCCGGCAGATCGGAGAAGCGAGGGCAGGGGATAGACACACACACATACACTAACATACACACCACAGAGAGTGCGAGTGAGCTGCCAGTGGAATTGTGTACAAGCTGGGTAAGGATGATCTGGGAACAAGATGGGAGGGGCGGATTTTTTTGGTTTACCCCTGAATAACTACCCAAGCAAAGTAGCGAGCTTCGGGTAAAGAGAGAGAATGGGCAGGTACTGCGACGAGGATACTCGGAAGCGGAACCCGAGTGGTTTCGAGAATGCGATGGCCTGGCTCTGGCAGATTTGCGCGACTGGGGCAGAGAGACGAAAAGTTGAAGGATGGAGAATGAGTGGGAGAGGTATACGGAGAAGCGGTACGAGTAGGTGAAGAAAGAGTAGTGGTGTAGAGTGTAGATGAAGTACTCGAAAGAGTAACAAGAGGGTTCTTCTCCTTCGACTTAGACTGCGGTCCTGGTTCCTACTGCGGGTTCTTCCCAAGCTTGGTTTGGAGACGCGACCGGAAGGCCAGAAGGCAGAAAGAGACGATGGATGGTGCAATGAGATGACAAGGGAGTATGAAGGACGGAGGAGAGATGGCGATCGGAGCGAGGGTGCAGCAGGAATATGGGCAGCTGAGGGGATTGGGCGAGTGAGGGTACAAGAGAGGAACAGGGTAGCTATTTGAACATTGGAGCAGGGTAGGATCCAAAGTGGGTAATTATGATGGGGAGTGATATGTCTGGGAATCGGGGAGGATGGGATGGGCAGCAAAGGAAGAGGCAGGGGACGAGACAGGAGGCGTCCGTCTTGGTACGAGAGCTGTTTTCTTTTCCTCTCTCTCACTCGCGCAGAGTGAGTATGAGAGAGAGAGAGAGAGAGAGAGAGAGAGAGAAATCCTCTTCACTCTACCGTCTCACACCTCGCACTTGCTGCTCCCGCTCTCACTTGTAAGGCAGCAGCAATGTGAAGAGAAGCGACAATAGAGGATCCAGGACCAGACAGACAGGCAGACGTACACACGATCAGCCAGCCAGCCCGCAGCAGCCCAACCGGGGGTGAAAGCAAAAATGGGAACGCAATAGCCAGAGCCAGACCAAAAGCAGACGATACAGGAAAGCAGAGTGTCAGGGGGGCGCAGACGCGGTGGAGCTTGATACGGCACCGGTGCGGCTTCTTGTTCGGGGTAGAGAGAAAGTGCAATGTAAGGTAATACAAGGGGGGGCGATATAATGGCACGGTACCTCGAGACCTTGGACCCGATGCGAGGTTACGGCACGACGAAAGTCGAGATATCGACGGAGATGGCGATGTCGACGGCAATGCCCTTGTAAGCGCGCTACCAAAGCCGTGGGGCAAATTGGAGGCGAGACGACGAGGGCATACCATAGTATGCGCTTGTACACACACCTCTAGCCAGGCCCAGGGTCGGGAGGATATATCCGTGTATATCTCGACGTCAGAGAAGAGATGTGTGTAGGTGTATGTAATAGGGAATGCGGTTGAAGGAAAGACAGCGCCAGAACATACTCAACAAATGATATGCGCCACCCAAGCAACGACGTGCGAAAGTGTGTGAGAGGTAAGGTGAAGAAGCAGGAGGCAGAATACGATAAAGCAAGAAAGCAGGCAATAGCAGCAGCAATAGACAGCAAATGCAAAACAGAGCAATAAAAAATTGTCAGGGTTTTGAACGTACGTGCGCGCGCGTGTGAATTCGCCTTCGGGTCTTTGCTACTCGGTAACTTGTGCAGGAAAGGACAAGAGGCAAAGTCGTTTACTAGTAACGGCGGCGGCGTCGTCGGCGGCGGGAGGTAGAGAGGTAGGTAGAGAGAAAGAAGAGAGAGAGATAAAAGTGCACCAATGAGTGAAATCTTTTCGGTTTGGGCGTACGCAAGTAGTAGTCCCATACAAGAGAGAGCAAGACTGAGAGAGAGAGAGAGAGAGAGCTTCTCGATGCTTTTCTTGCTGCGACTTGCAGAGAGGTCCCAGAGCAAGAGCAGAAGCTGCGCGTGGGAGGACGGACAGGGGATAATAACGACCGGGGAGGGCGTGGGTGTTGGGAGGAGAAGGAGGATTGGCGGTGGTGGTGGTGGGCATGGACGAGGGCAAGGAAGATGAGGAAAGGACGCAGAAGACGTGAAGATGGGACAAGAGGGGCTGGTGTCGTTGTGAGAGAGAGAAAAAAAAAAAGGCAAGGTAGGGGCGTGAGGGTATCATGGTGAGCCTTACTTTGCGACTGCCTCCTCTCTCTCTGTCTCCAAGTTCCAACGTGCGTGGAAAAGAGCCGGGAGAGAGGAGAGAGAGTCAGAGACAAGGTGAAGGCGAGGTGTACATGACCTTACGCAGTCAGGTAGGTAGGTACTGGGTAGTGTTGGAGAGGAAGGAAAGGGGGCGTGTGCGCAGTACGGCAGACAGGCGGGATTTGCTCTGGGTGTGTGGTGTTGGTGTTGGTGTTGGTGTGTGAAGGTGTGGTACGTACTGGGAAAAGAATAAGAAGGGAAAAAAAAAAAAGAAAAGAGGAAAAAAAAAGGTGCAGGTGGGGTGTGAATAGATACAGGGGCGTGCGAGTGCTGAATAGGGTGTATGGGACAGCGCATGGAAGAAACGTGACAGGGGTCTCTTGCATTGTAGATTAAATGGCCAATGGCGGCACGCGCTTGCAGGGCCGAGCAGGGTCAACTACCCAATCAGGCATCTCTCATCCGGGGCTAGCCAGCAGACCAGCATACTACCGGGATGCCGCCGCGGGCCCTCAATCTTGCTCTCTCTCTCTCTCTCTCTGCCACTCTCTCTCAAGTCTCTCTTTTTCTCGTGTGTACCGCAGTACTTTCTCTCTCTCTCTTGTGTGATGATTTTTCACTCATCTCTCATCTCTTTCTCAGAGGACCATAGTCTCTCATCCACTAGGGCGACAGACCGCAACTGTGAAAAACACGACTCCAGAAGCATGGCGTCTGCAACTTTGCTTGCTTGGCCCCCCTGGTCGTACCTTTTTTCCAGCCACCGACCCCCAAAAAAGAGGCTTCCCACTTTCAATTCCCGGGTTCCCTCCTCACCCTGTCCTCACCCCCGGTCCTGGCAACATCTTGCACTTGTTTGGCGCAAGGCGGTGTGGGAACCCATGAGGCGGAGACAGTCTGTGTGTGAGAGAAAGAGAGACGAGGGAAGAGAAGTAGGTAACTAAGTACTCTCTGTAACGGCCCTGGGAAAATATGCCTGCGGAGACCCGGCTGGTGTGGGAGCCCTGGCACAGCACTCACTCCCGCGCTGTCGTTGGCATGTTCCCCCCGCGTTTGCTGCTTGACCGTTCCTGGCCTCCTGGTCCGGCTTCCAATGCCTGCTGCTGCTAATGCGCTGCTGGCATCTAGAATGGAGTGAGGTGGTGGGCATATGGGCATGGCACTCGCACTGGCACTTGAGACCTTGCCGCTGGCCCATGTATCACCCACGTCCCAGGCACAACCAGGAACCCGGAGCTCTGCTTGCCCAGCACTGCGGGAGCGCCGTACTCAGTACTCGCTGCAACAGGCGCCTGACAAGCCTGCTCCGAGGTCATCGATACGTTCGTTTCGTCCCCCAAAACCAGCTCAGAGAAGATGACGGGGGACGCGTTCTGGCTGTCTTCACCCTCGTCGTTCAACGTTGGTTTGGACTCTCCACAACTAGCGGCAGCACAAGTCACCCTCGCCGCCCTTGCCCCCTGGTGGGAACAATGGCAAACGATTGTACGGAGTACTGTGGTCTGCAGGCCTTTTGCCCATCTTCTCCTCCTTGCCGGCGCGCGGGTCGAAACAAGAACAACCGGCCATGACAGACGTTGCCTCTCTTGCCAATCATCCACCAGATTCCCGATTTCCGCCCCCTATCAATGCGCAATCGATGGGGGAGAGTGAACTCAGAACTCGCGCAGATGTTCCCTCCAACAGCAGCCGATTCCGAATCATTCTGGCAAACGAACAGAGTGATGAATGCATCGGCTAGGTCAGCACCGACCCCCATTGCCCCCCCCCCCCCCCCCCCCCCCCCCCCCCCCCCCCCCCCCCCCGGCACCCCCCACCGCCCCCACCCCCCCGCCCCGGCCCCCCCGCGCGCAGAGAGGAAGGGAAGAGGGGAGATGAAGACCCCCCCCCCCCCACCCGCCCCCACCCCCCCCCCCCCCCAATTGCTCAGCCACCCGTCATTGGGGAAAGCTGATGGCAGCCCCCACCAAGAACGTGTGTCGCAGAGCAAAAGAGAGAGAGGGAGATAGAGGATGAGTGCACCCCACCCGGACGCCTCCAGATCTCCACAATCGTCACCTCATCTTCATCTTGCTTTTGCCAGGGAAAGGCCCGTCAGAGCAGTACACCACTACGAATACCTCGACTCGAGTGTGGTTGCCGTACATCCACAGACAGAGCTCATCACCTAGAATGAGCTCTTCCTTCAGCCGATTTCTTTCGGCTAGCTTGTGGAATCTCTTTTCTTTTTCTCCTCGCTCTGACGTGTACATTATGACAAGAAGGAGCTCGTGACACTCCCGTCTTCAAAGTCCACGTGAGTGGGTAGGTAGGTAGTCGGGAAAACGGGCCCAAGGAAGAGGACAGTAACGAGGGGGAGGCGCACAAAGTACACGCTTTCTTTCGCGCGCGTCCCATAGCGTAGCTCAACCTCACTAAGGCTTAAAAAGCTGAAAGGTCGGTACCCGTTGTGCTCGAGACAACACTAGGCATCTAGACAGGCCCGGGAAGCCGTTGGCCGCCGTTTTGCCCTGCGTGGTGTCCCTCATTTCCAACGAACCAGCCACCTCTTGGCTTGGTGCCTGCGCCATCGATTCTCGCCTTGTCACCACCACCTCCATTCAGCGTGAGAGGGAAGACGACGAACAACATGAGGAAACATACTGATACAGACAGACAACGCAAATCCAAAAGCCAGCAACAAGAGGAATGTCGCGATTGCTGCGGCTCGCAAGGGGTGCGCGCCAGAGAGGCAACAGGCTGCACCTCCGCGTGAGACCCCGGTCAACGGCGCGCGAAGACTCGACCGTACTCCGTAGAGGGCAGAACCACGAACGTGTCTCTGGGAGCTTTCCCAAGGTATCCAATGTTCACCCAGCCTCCCGGAGCTTGAACCAGGTTGGGTAGCACTCACCCTGCCCTGCCCTGCCCAACCCCGGCTGGTTTGGTCTGGCTGCCCACGCCTGTCCCCTCACCCTCTCTCCAACTTTCCTCTCCCCCAACTTCGACGAGCGAAAATGAAAATTCAAGATAAAATAAAATCAAAGTGGTGCAAAAGGGAATAGCGTCGTAGTACATTGGTCGGGAGGTCCCACTCATGCAAATGGAGCCTGCGACGGCCCCGGTCATTGGTGAAACAGGAGCCACCCTGCCAATCTCACAGACTTTTTGGATTCCTGACCTGGTCAAGCTTGCGACAGCGTTGCCATCTTCTGGAAGCCACGGGAATCCCAGGAAACTCATCTTGCCGACGCCAACTGTGCGCGTAGCTCAAACCCTATCCATGTTTGACCTCTTCTGCAACTCCCGCTTGAGAGCTTCAGTCGAGGTCCGTGGGGACCGCCTGTCACGACTCGCCGTCCAAGCATGTAGCCGAGTGACGAGTCTTCCGGCAGCTAGGGCCAGCAAGCGTTCAAGCTGAGGCAGACACCCTTATGCGCGACCAACGAACTTGAGTAATTGAAATGGGGACAAGGGGGAAAGCACAGGAGAACGACTTCTTTCGGTAACATGACGACCAAACGGAAAGGTTTGTAGAATAATGGAAAAGGCGTGACTTACGTGATCAGGCTCCTGCTTGTAGCCACCCGAGGGCTGCCTGTTCTGCGCCATGGCTCTGACAGTCATGAGTTGATATTGATGTTTCTGTGCGTCTTGGTTAGCCATCTGTCATCTGTAGCTAATGAACCTTGAACCAGGCTCTTCCAGGCCTCCCTGGAATCAGAACAGACTCCAATTCATCCCAACGGGGATGTTCGATGTCCCTTACCAGCCAGGCTGGCATGAGGTGAGATCGCCGAGAGATGGCCCATCCTGATGCCCAACCTTCGCTGAATTCCCCGCACCTCTTGGTGCAAGGTTTTTCCATCAAGTCATCACGGCTGATGGACGCGTGGGCAAGGAAACAGGAATATCCGTGGCAAGAAAGGGAGGTTGGCCAGCGCTTTGCTGGCAAGAAATCGACTGGGAGATGCCTGTTGTTCGCGTACGTACTCACTTTTTTTTGTGCTTAGGTAGACTGGTCTAAATGTCGCGATCGCTGCGTTCCGTGTACTTCAGTTCGTTGCTGGTGCGGGCGTAAGTTGAGCAAAGATTGAACCCGTGATCTTGGGCAGGTGTGTCCGAGGTTGGCGGCGTTGTGAAACAAAGATATCCCAGCTTGCTGCAAATCGACTCAAGTCAGCATCTTAAGTGTTTTGTTTTCCCAACTTTGATCGGAGCAAATTCATGCGACCGCGTCAAGAACACGCGACCGGGTCCCAAGAGGGCCCCAATAAAATGGTGACCCTCCCCCCCTGACGGCAATCACACAAGGAGAGAGGCCCAAGGGGGATGCGATGAGTCGTGCAGGCCATGTTCATGCGCAGACTGCAACATGGGACGTTACCGAAATTGAAACAAAGACGCGCTTGGGCGTAGTGTAAGCCCCATACGGATAGGCGCCGAACAGCAACGCCTTCAGATGATGCATCTCGAAATGCAATTTCGGAGCCCATCGGAAATACGACTATTCGTAAAGGCTGAACAAGATTCGACACGCGGCGGGGAGCACGGGAAGCAAAGAAAAGACGGAGATTAAAGACGAAAAATCACGAACCTTTTGGATGGAGAGTTGGACGTGTTGGAAACGCGTTGACGAGCAATGACGGGGGAGTGTCTGCGCCTGTATCTGGATAAGGCTGGCTGAACGAGGGTTACAAGTGGATTCTGATGGTTCTGCAGCGTCTGCTTATAGTGTGTGAGTGTGTGTGTGCGAGTATAAGTGTGCGTATGTGAGTGTCTGTGTGTGTGTGTGTGTGTGTGTGTGTGTGTGTGTAGTGTACACTTGTGCAGGGGAGGGCAACCCAGTAATGCACGGAATTTGAGGCTGGCGCTGCGTGGGTGTCCTGACCTGGAACGAATGCGGGAGAAGAAGGCTCTGACAGCGGGCTCCCGAGGAAGAAGTCGATGGTTCTTCTAGTCCTTCTGACGGTAGGTAGCGTATCCGTAGGAGGGCTTGATTAGTGTGTCTGCTTCCCTGCTCAAATGGAGCTATGCCTCAACGCTGGCTCGGTCTGTTTGGGTGGTGTGTGACGGGCTCCCAATTCTCCGGGGATGGACCAGGGAGCTGGTCGAACGTTGTTCGCCGGGGCCGTGCGAACGAAATCTGGGATGCGTATGCAGGCCTTGCTGTGTCCCGCTACTGGGGGACCTGACTTGTGCGTCGTTGTTCTACCTGTATTCTGAATTAGTTCATGCAGGCCAGCCTTGCAAAGGCCACAGGCGCTGGCAACGGCGTCTGTCCCTCTCGCAAGGGGAACCAAAACGTACAACTGTCAAGCAACTGGAGAACCTACTTGGAGTGTGCTTTTGTGAAGTGCCTGGTCAGGGGTTTCTCGTGCTGAGGAGTGGCTCAAGCTGATTTATGACGCAACACGGACCCTGGAGAAATAGCGTAGGGTAGCTAAGACGCTTGTCAGGCACTGCGAGGAACGAACGGCTTGCTGGGTGTGACTGGGAGGCGTGTGGAAGGACGGGTAAAGCAAGGGAAAGCAGAGTCAAGAGGCAGACGGCGTCATGGAGAGAATGCCGGATATTTAGGCAGAGCCAGGGAGACTCGAGTGATTGGCAACGGGTCCTCAGAGGAATAAGAAAAAAGAGCAAAAAATAGGACCAGCGATAACGCCAATTCCCAAGTAGGTCGACGTCCCTTCAGTTGGCCACTCGGCACATTGATTAAGGAGAAGCTGGGGTGTGATGGGCTGCGTCCAGAGGACGACTATTGGATGATACCGCAGCCCCCCAAGAGAAATGTGACGAAAGAATCCCGGCTAAATGAATCGGGTGGGCAGGTGTAAGGGGAGCCAGCGAGAAGAGAGGTGTGGACGGAACCGGTCCCCCGGTGGGAGGGTACGCAATACCTAACGAGACAGGCCAAAGGAGCGAAATGCTGAAGAATATCGACGTGATGTGCAGAGCCTAGACCGAAGTTCATCCTCACCGCTCCAACAGCGGGAAATACACCCTGACGGACACCCACAGTATGAATACGGGTGGGTGGAAAGAGTACGGAGGTCCATCGATATCTACATAGGATCCGAGATGCCTGTCAGCCAGCCAAGAAGAGCCAGGGTGGGAGTTGGCAGGCGCCCCGTGGAGAGGCGGTGGCTCACTTACCATGAGTCTATGAGAATAAGCTTCTTCGGCATCCGTAGCTGAAGTGGCGATGTCAGTATTAGTTTGCGACCTTGCTAAGGTAGCCTAAGGTAGCTTCAACGTCGAAGCCGTCCGGGGGAATGGCTGCGCTTCTGAGCCAGATCTAGAAGCCTGAAATACCCTGCTCCTTACGAGGAATGGGACGGTATGACCAAGGTAAGCAAAGTGCTACCTCAAGGTAGTTTGGTGGACCGTTGCCTGTCAAAAAACACCGGTCACGGTTAGCATTGAACGACCCTTGCCCACACACGAAAATGCCTAGTCGACCCGAACGTCTCACCCTGGGCTTTTGGGGTTGGGGGTTGAGCGGGAGGCAAGGGGGTCAGAAACGGTGCCAACCTCAAAGAACCACGAGGTTGCTCGGACTTCTCGTACTATTGCTTGATGTGCTGCCTTGGAGTGTGCGCAGACAAACGTTGCTGAATCGCGACACGACGACTATTCCATAGAACGCACAGTTTGGATCTAAGTAACGGCGG